TAAAGAATTTCTGAGATTGTGTTGGAAGTGTTTCCGCCGTAAACTTATTCGGAAACTTTTCTTTGAGTTTTCCGCAACGCGTATTTTTTTTATAGAATGTATATACATTGTTATACAACTTCCTGTCAATACATTTTAAGGAAATGGATTTACAAACAATGATTCAAATTGCTAGTTTAACATCTATAGTCAACATTCTTAAGATATATTTGTATTCTATGTCAATTTTCTGTATTCTTTAGTCTTGATAATGTTTACTATTTTAGTCATTTTAACAAGTAAACCTTGATGACTATATTAATCTATCAGTAACTTTCAATTATTTTCTTGTTATAATGTAGAATTATTCATCATCGTGTGATTTAGCATGCAAAACATTAATCATGTTGTAGTGTGATGATGGAAAGGCAAACGAATAGTTTCTCACACGACTTTCTCATTAACCATGATATTAATATAAAACAATGTTTTATATAGGCATCAAGATACCTTTTTTTTTGTCATTTCTCATTGTATCTTCTGGATGCCCGATTTTCCCAACATTGAATACCACTCATAGAAACATATTTATCAATCGAACCATGCTGAAGCATTTTATGGACGTATGAGTACATTTAAATGATAATACAAATGGGTATTTGTACTTGTGCATTTCTGATAGTGTCGTAATGCTGACGGAAATTCGATAATAAAATACCCAGCAAAAAACTGATTTAGTACGTCAAAAATTTTTTAAAATCAAATATTTATCTTTGTATCACAACGACACAGCTCAATCGCTTCAGCCTTGACGACTGATATATCTTAAAAGTTTAGCGACTATCAGCGGCGACGGTGGCTCAGCCGATTAGCTTATGCTTCTATTTCCATACATAAGGTTGTCATTCGTTTCTGTTTAGTATTCAAAAAAGAAGAAACAAGAAGATTTTCTATCTCTTGATATTCAATGCTTGCTGACAGCTTGATTAATCTACAATGACATTGATGTTCTTTCTATTATCAAGAGAGTTATTTGACAATACAATAAAGTAATTCGAAACTATGATTAAAATATTGCATAATTATTTAATATTAATCTCTACATCAATAATGAATATCGCTATCAAAAGAATAAAACAGATGATTTTTAAATAGAATTTGAAACAGGTTTGCTTTCATGTTGAATAAACAATTTGAATAATTAAATTTGTAAAGAAAAAAAAAACAGCTACAAATGAAATTTCAACCACAGAAATGACGATGATAATTATTAATCACTGATTATCATGTGTTCGGTAAGTTCTATTGTGTTTATTCCGTATGGAATAACATGCACGATGTAATAATATAACAATTAATATTAAAAATTTTTATTTCTTTGAAAGCTCAAATTCATTGATTACGTACAAAAATAAAAAATTCTTCTAATTTTATAAAAATATTCGTATTTTAGGCATCATCTGTGATAATAAATTTATTCATTTATTAATACAGATAATTACTATATTCATTCAAAATAGAAAAATGATTTCAATCATGAAAATGATTCTACTTGATTGAAATTTTCTATATAAAAACTCATTTGCTTAGTTTATATGCTTCATTTTCTTAAAAATTAATAATGAAATATACTTAATATTAGAATCTATTAAATAAAATGGAATTGTTCTATGTTCTTTCGTGATTTATCAAATTCTTTATCTTTATGTTGTTGTTTCCCTTTTTACTTATTAGAACTCTATCTTAGCTTTCAACTATCAAGGGATTATTGATTTTGCAATAATGAATGAAGAAATAACCAATGTTAGTACCATTAAAGAACATATAGTTAAACGTTTACTAAATGAACTTTTTAGATCTGTGAACATAGAAAAAAATTAACCTACAATCATCAAGAGATATCTTGATAGAATTTTTTTTTTTGCACAAGAAACATATACGTTACTTTAAGTAAACAGAATATATTAAAACGATTAATGATATTTTGTTTGTTTTTATGTCTCTTACAAATTTTTCTATCACTTGTTTCATCCTAAATAGATTTCATATAGAGAAATAATGATGCATGTCGTTTTTTTTTCTGAAACTATTCAGTATTATTTTATTTTTAATATAACATCTAGAGTTTTATAACAAATAGATATGTTGCCATATCACCATTATAATTTTGAGTGTTCATTTTGCTGCAAATATCTATTTCACATGTTAAAAAGTATAACTTTTATTTCTAGTAATGTAAACAGGTTACGACTAACTTAACTATAATTCCAGCAACAATAACAAAAAAACTAAATACAAAGAAAAGGAAATAAAGGAATAAGTAGTCATGATCTAAATGAACCGATGAAGAAAATCTGAAAAAGTAAATATAAATTAATCGTAATTATGGATTCAAGTCGGAAGAAGTTGATACTCCAGGAAACACTTATATGTCAGTGTGTTTTATGTTACTCAAGTGTATATGTGTGTACTTTCCGTTATGTTACGATAGTTTATTATTAATAAGGTTTCATACTTTTCAATGTAAAAGTAAATATAATGTCCTACAGTTTGTTTTCTACTAGAATACTTTGAAAATATTAATTCATATTTAAAAGAATAAGATAAGTTCGTATGACAGTTTTTTTTAATTATTTTTCAATTATTGAAATGATGTAAAAATTTTATTTCTAATTATTTTCTTCATCATTATGTGTATATAGTTTTATATCAATTTCATATAAGACCTCGTGACAAAAAGTGAAAGTGTTATTCCAACTGAACGAAGGAATACAAAAGTAATAGAGGAAAATAATGAGTTAATGGTCTCTATACATAAAAACGCATCATTAATTTTGTATGTTAAATTAAAAAGTGAATAAACCATGAAAGTGGCTAGATGACTTCTAAAAAAAGAATAGACAATGGTTCGATACTAAAATTGTATAGAATGTCATGTGCTTCAGAACTAAACAACGTAGAAAATGATTTCTAAGAGAAGAAAAAGACATAGGACATTAAGCTCATTTTTATCTATATTATTAATACTATTCTTTTTTTCCAAATTAGTATAACAAAGCTAATCATTTGAATAATTATCTTAAGTGTTTATGATTTATTTTGAGAACATATTTAGACATAAGAGTATTTTCTTATCTTTATCTTCGAAAATGATTAATACCTAGGGACTATGTGTGGGCGAGAATTATTTGTATAAAATCTGATTGTGAGTTTATTATCAATCATTAATTCTTTTCGTTGGCAAATAATAATCATATTACGCATCAATTTTTTTTTCCATTCTTTTTTTCATCGAGATAAAATATTTATACTTTGATATTGTTAACGAACTTTTTCTTTTTAATCTCTCAGGCTAATATGAAGAAGAAGTAACATAAGAAGATATAGATTTGAAAGAAAGAATAAAAGAATAATTTCAAAATTGAAATGAAATTAAAATTAACAAAAAAAAAAAAATGAAGTTTATTTTTAATATTCATTTCACACTATAAAAATTTGATTGTTTGATTTTATTAACAGTTTTTGTGACAAATTCCAATCGTGTTTGTTTATTTAATATTATTCGTAGTTCTTTTTTTTCTGTTACCGTCTTCTATTGACATTTGTATATGCTACTGATTGGATAGTCTCAAGACAATTATTCGACAATAGAATACTACTGATATTATCAACTGTTCATTGGGGCGTATTATATTGATTTCCTACTACTCAAGATTATACAAATCTATCAACAGTAGGTATAAAAAGGTACATTTTTCTCTTTACTTTCTGTTCCATTTATTTGTTAAGAAAAAAATACAACAGATACGGTTGTTCATTAATAAATGATATCTTTCTAATTCGATTCCCTTAGCTTGAAGTTTTGGTGTCAGCTACGTAGATTTTTTCTTCTCAACTCAACATTGTTAAATAAAATGCAAAAGATGGAATCAATTCATTTAATTAAAAGAGATTGACAAAACTTTTTTTTGCATGTCATATGCATAAATATATGATAAGCACTTTTTTTTCTTCAAATAATATGGAAAAGATAGATGAATATCTGATCAATACCAATTAAGGTCGACAAACAATTGTCAATGTTTGACAGAAGAAAGAAAAAGCAATTTTATACAAATGTATAATATATGAGAGATATATTTTCTGAGCATCAAACGTTATAACAGGGAAGAATATATTTGCTACAATCGCCATTGAAACAATAAGCAACTTGTAAACATTTTCATTCAGGAACTGATTTGTAGATTGCTCCCAACCAAACAAGGAAGCTTAGTAAAGGATCGAAGAGGTGCGTGTCATAAAAAAAAGTGAAGATTTCAGATAAAAATTAATCCTGCATGTTTTTATCAATGACAATGTCATGAAGAAAGTTATCGTTGTATGTCATATAAACTATTCATATTTTTTTCCCGTACCCGATGCTATGAAATTTTGTCCTAGAAACAGAACCTTTTTTTTTAATAAAATATTTGCCCTCCTTCCTAATGTGTTCTTCAGGAAATGAATAGCAGGTGGCCTGGCAAAAAAGATCGAAGAAAATGAAAAAATATGATTTAATTCTATATTATAAAATGAAATTAAAATAAAATACTCAGGAAATAAATATTCAAGGCATATTGAACTATAAAAAAAATTCTTAATTTTATTCTTTGTTTTTGAATTTTTATTAAATCTTATTTCCGTCGATTTTATTTTTTTACAAAAATGAGCCTTTTCTCAATATTAAAATACACCTACATAACTCATCACTTGAATAACACAATAGAAATTGTTCAGGCGGAAATCCTAATGTAAAAAAGTATTTCATATATAGTTCTTTTTTGTCTTTCTATATTATTTGCATTCTATGAATAGTGGATAGAAAGTTTTGCATTTATTGTTTCTATCCTTTATTTTTTTTCTTCCCTTTCTCTTTTTCTCTTGAGTTTCAACAGCGAAAAGAAAAACTAGACAAAATATTTTGCATTCAAGAAAAACCAACAAGGAAAATACAATTTAGAATTCTTTTTTTTTCTTTCAGAATGGCCGAACACATTGATTCTAATCGACTTAATAGTGATCTTCGTTATCGTTTTGAGTACGTATCAAAATTTTTAAATTTTACATTGGATGATATTGCTATGCTTAATACATTTGCACCCATTATTTTTCCAATTGTTCCTGTTATTACTGATACTGTTTATAGAAAATTATTTTCATTTGATATAACAAAACATTATTTTCTTATTCGTAATGAAGGTTTTGAAGGTTTTTTACCAAAAACAACTTCTGGTATTACATTAGATTCACCTCAAATGGAACTACGAAAAGATATGTTAAGCGTGTATTTAAAACGTGTATTAACACAACGTGAGTGGAATGATACATTTCTTCAATATTTATCTCAAGTTGGAAAAATGCATACAAATGGAGCCGGTTCAGCATCAATTAATGTTGATTATATACATATAAATGCATTACTTGGTTATTTAGAACATTTACTTATTGATGTTTTATGGAGTGCAGATAGTATTGATGATAAAACACGACAATCAATTGTAATGGCAATAAATAAATTTTTTTGGATACAAAATGATTTTTTTACAATGCATTATTTAGCATCATGGAAAGAAAGTTCAACATCAAATGAAACATCAATGAAAAAAAATAAATATTGTTGTATATAAATAATGAATATTTGTTTTCTTTTTTTTTTTATTGTCTTGTTCTCAATCAAGCACATCCTTCATATTAAAAAAAAAAGTTATATTGATTGATGAGTAATTATAGTTTTTTTTTGTTCTTTATTAAGTGAAAAGAAAAAAAAATTATAATTTATTATAATTACATCTTGAAGTGAAGATGTTTTATATAAGAAAAGGAAATACGTTTTTCTTTTTGTTTCTTTCTTGTGTAAAATTATATCTTTTTTTTTTTATTTGAAATAAAAAACATGATTGAAGAAATTAGACTTTTTATTTTTCATTTATTCTTTTGAAAAAAGGACATGAAATTTTCTGAATATTTTCTTTTGAAAGATAAATAAATTCACATATATAGTTTGTTTTGTCAATGTATTTTACCCGAACAGTAATAAAGAATTGCGTGAAACATTATATAATCGAATTAACCAAGACGTACGACTATATTTACTTAAAATACTCTGAATAAGAACAAGTATATTTGTTGACATACTTTATGAGATCCTTCTACGGGCATACTTATAAACTACTAATTTAAACAAATTCCGGCACTTTTTTCATTTCTCAAACAAATAGATCTATCACAATAACAATATAAGAAAAAGAAACTTTATCCTTTGATCTGTCATTTTTCATGCATATTTGCATAGAAATTAAATGTACATACATATATATGTAGATACTAGTTTGGCTTCAGTTTTCACATAATACATGTGCCTGGCATAATCATGTATATATATATATATATTGTATATATATGTAAGCCATTCTCTTTTTATTTCAAATAGCAATTGATCAAAGAAAGAATTCAAAGACAAACACAAAGATGAGTCAAGATATGATTGAAGATGAAGGTAATATTTTTTGATTGACCTTTTTTTTTGTATGCAATGATATATGATCAGTTCTGTAAAGTAATCGTTATATTCTTGATATTCCTTTCTTGACATATTTATGCGTATATAACTTTGACAAAAGAAAATGAGAACAAAATGAGTATGGATATATATAAAAGTTAAAAATATATAGAACAAATTGACATAGGAGATGACAAGTGTAAAGTATTATTCTATGGTTTAAAAAAAAAACTTGACTTTCTTCAATTGTCAGAATAAAGTGTCTGACTAAAATATAGACGTATAGAGTCGGTAGGCAAAAGTAGTCAAGGACGAAGTTATTTCTTTTTTTTTTGTAAATTTAAGAAATACGAGTAAGAAGAAAAACAACTTATTTTGAAAAAAATATTGAAATTGATCTTGATTTGACCAATGACAGAAAAGTATTTCATTTCCTCGGCTTTTTCTTTTTCAATTAGATTGAAGTGGGCGAACACTTATAACTATATTATATATTATATTTATATATATACATATTTCCTTTAGTTTTGTCTGAAACTCAATCAAGTACATCATCGCGTCGTACCAGTTCAATTAGTTTTCATATGGCATCTACTAATGTACGATTACGACGTAGTAGTATTATTACTGGACGACAATCATCAATTATTGATACACATGAAAATAAACAATCTAAACAACAACAACAACAAACACCAGTTAAAGTACTTGTTGTTAATGGCAAATGTTCTGAAATATTTAAATCAACATTAGAAGATTGTGTTGAAGAATGTATATTAGAATTTGCAGGTGAAAATTCAATTTATGTACCAAAATCAGGACAAGCTACACAAATACCAGTTGGTAATAAACAAATATTTTCTTCGAAAGAACCTAGTTCTAATGTAAATCAATCAACAAAATTGAATCGTCGAAGAAGTTCAGTTAATCAATTTAATTTACCACAAATTGGAAATATGCGTACTAGTCAAACTAGTAATTTTTCATTCTCTAATACAGCTCTAACAATAACATCTGCATCACGTATGCGTCATCAATTAATTCAATCAAAATTTTCTCCTGTCGAAGATATTTCTGAAGAAGCAACTGATCTTCAAACAATAATTGAACAAGTACAAAAACCATTAATAACTGAAACAGATTGTGAACATCCACATATATCTCAAGAAGAAATAATTACTCGTCAATCAAATAATGATACATTATCTCAATCAATTTCAAATTCTCATCGAAAAATTCCATCAGCTCGAACTCATTTATCATATAGTGATCGTCAAAAAGTTTATCGTTTATCAGATTTAGTTATGTTGGGACCTGAATATTTTACTCATATATTTAATCTTCCACGTACATCACGTTATGCTACACAAACATCAGCCAGACAACGTTCAAGTACTCAACAAGGACGCAATAAACCTGCTGATAAATACAATGAACTTGATCGAATAAAGCAAGATCTATTTCATCGATATTTATGGACACAAAAACCGCAAGTATCATGTCGTATTCGTCCTATATCAACCTATACACGTAGTACAACATTTGTCATTTAAAATTTTGTTTTTTTTTTCTTTGATAAAAATTCTCCTATCATCGAAGATTTTCGTTTTCTAATTTTTTTTTTCAATATTGCATCTACTCTGTTGATTGCCAAGAAATAAGTTCATTGAAAAACGACTCTGCGGGAGTGTTACATTATTGCGCATAATTATCAGAGAGCGAGCGGGCACTTGTGTTCATTCTTTTTATAAATAGAAAAAAAAAGTTAAATGTTATATGTAAAAAAAAAAGAAAAGAAATTTTTCTTTTAACGTACTTTTATTACATGAAAAACTTGGATGCACTTAAATCGTTTATTTTTAATGGTAAAAAAAAATAGAATTTCCTCAATCAACATTTCATTAAATTATTACATTTTGTCTTTTATATATTTTAATGATAAAAAAAAAAAATGAATGACGCGAATGCATCAAAGTGTATATAAGAAGATAAAAGTTACATGTAATTCTCTAAGGACATATTTTTGATATATATGTCAATTGGATTGTACAAGAAATGTTTGATTATTATCAACTTTAAGCTTTTCAAAAGGCATGTATTAAGTAGAAAAAGAATTCTCTTAGGAAAAATATTTTTTCTTCCATTTTAATTATTTTTTTTAACACAAAAAAAAATCAATACATAATCAAGATCATTATCTTTGTAATATAGAATGATTAAAATGTTCGTTTAATGATCAATATATTACAATCATTTCATCGGATCATAAAAATTTTTTTCGATGGTTAATTTTAACATATTTGGTGATTTCTATTGATAAAATAATTATTGAAAAATTGGTATCTGAAAAAGAGTTATTGATGTAACAAAAATATTAACATTGAAGTCATCGATGAAATTGAATAGTAAAAATTGAGAAATTCTTCATCATATAATTGTACTTTTTAAAAAAGTATGTTCTCTAGTTAAAAGTTGAAACATTGTATGCAAACTGATATTTGCTTTTTGAAAGATCATTACATGTTCAATAAAATTTCTAAAACAATATCAAACTACATTTTTTAATATGCCAAATATTCGAAATATAATCAATTGATTATTGAGTTATAAAACATTTTTTTCAAGTCAATTCAATTCTATTAAATTAATACAGTCATTATTTGCATTTGTACGTCTCCAGATAGCTCATAAGGAATTACTCGATGCACAAAGTGTTCGAAAAAAAATCAAAATCTGCAAAGAAAGACAGGGAAACGGTGTAAGCAGATCATTTCTTCGTTTTTATTATCAAATAGATCGAGCTTTTTTGTTGACTAGACTGAAAAGAAAAAAAATCACAATAGTTAACGCATGAGTGTTAAAAAAAATCTATAGCAAATATAAAAAATTGTTTAATCTTGAATAATATCATAACTGCTGATATTTCGTTTTGAACATTGACGTTTTATAATAAATATTACTGCAATAAATGCAATTAAACCTGGTAGAAGAAGACTAACAATAAATGCAATTGTAACAAATTGTTTTATTGAATCTGCTTCAAGTATATCTAAACCAGCTGTAAATTGAATAAATGTATAATTTGATTTAGCAAAGAAACCTATTATACCAAAAAAAAGAAAAAAAAAAATTAAATAAATAAACGAATAATAACATACCATCTTTTGCTCGACCAAGTGAAATATTAAAAGCTGATACATATGGTTGAACATAAAAGCTATTAAAAATTCCTTGATCAATTGATTTTTCAAGTGATATATTATTTTTTAAATCATATATTTCCATTAAAGTTGTTTTTTCTACTGATCGATCAACACTTTGATATACAACAGGTTTCCATAATATAGATGTTGAATATATTGGATTAAGTGATTTTATTTGCCAGACATTAAAAATACCTTTGAAAAATAAAATAATTCGAAATTCAATTCAAAAGAAAAAATTTTCTCGTAGAATTTCAATTGTAAATAGAAGATTTCAAATACGTACAAATGTGAAATAAAGATAATTATTTATTAAACTAAAGTGTATGTTATTTACTAATTTGATAAAAAACTTCAATTTATATAAAAGTACTTTGGAATATTCTTAAAAATTGAAATTTTATAATTAAAACAATAAACAATAGAATAAGAACTGTTTGTTAACTTGAAAATTATCTCAAAGAGTTTGAGTAAAATCAAAAAATTAAATTCTTCATTTTCAAAGTTCGACAATATATATTTTAAATTAATTATAAATCTCATATATACCTGGTGTGTAGTGATCATCGATATATCTTGATGATGAAAATTGTGTACCTTCAATACCTAATTGTATTATATAAAATTCTAATGCAAATCGTGTATTTGGTAATGTATAATTATTTGCTTTTAAAGCTATATTAAGAAAATAACTTTTTGGTGTTGAACATAATTTTGGAAATTTTACATCACGCATTGATTCACCTGGATAATTTATATCAATAGTTAATAGACCATTGATCTAAAAATTCTCCAAAAAGCTTTTTTTTTCTGTTTTCAAAATAAAAAAAAAAACAAGAATAATCAATATTTACGGTATCCAATGGTAATTGAAATGATGGTTGATTTGTATTATTATCTTGACGAGTAATATTCGTTTTTAATCCATTTAACCAATATGATTCTATTGAATTATCATCTTTATTTAAATGACCTGTATCATCTTTATCATTAAATTTTATTAAACGTCGAATAATTAATGAGAACGAATTTAATGGTTTTGAATCCTCAAATAAAATTGAATTTGAATAATTTCTATTGAATAATGCTGTATAATTAATATGTGGACCATAACCTTTTTTTGTTTGAATAATACTAATTGTTAATTCATCGAATGATGAATATAAAATATGAATTGTATTATTACCAACAAAATGATTGGCATAAAATATAGCTGGATAACCAGAAATTTGACATTCGATTAAATCACATCCAGGATTGATTATAAATGGAACAGATGAATGAATAGTTTTTGTAAGACATATTAGAAAAAGCAGATCAATAAAATAATGAAAAGAAATCATTATGAAATGTAAAAAGAAAAACAAAAGTATCTGAAACAAAAACAAAAATCTATCTTTTAATTTTGTAATCATTGAAGCTTTGTAGACCTAATAAAAATTCATATGTTGAAGATAAAATCAGTTTTTTCAGTAGTTAAATGGTAGTATAAAGAATCATCGCTATTGAATTATTGAATATTAATCAATTTAGACAAGAAAAGGTTGAAAAAAAAACATCTATCAATATAATGTCTCTCAGGAACCACGTAGGATTCCATAACGATAGTTTGTCCTTTCATTATTCGATACGATCAAATTAACTTAAGATTTACACAAGACAAATTATTATTTTCGTTTATTCTATCAAACAGAATATATCTAATAACATTTTGAATAGATCTCAGCTTGAGATTGAAGTCACAATCAGTATGACACATGAAAGTTCCTAATGTCTCCGAGCAGAAATAATCAGACGAAAAAAGAAAACGCTTCTAGAAACTTTCTTACGTACTCTAATTCGCTACGTTTGTATATGTAAATCAACGCATAAAATATTACAACTCAATAAGATCATTTTTCATTATTTAAGTTGTTTTAAATTTAAATCTATTCAACATAGAAGATATTGCTTATGAAACAAAATCTCGTTAAAGAATTTCAGATGATTTTGTCTAAAGAACTGTCAAGAAATGTTCACTTTTTCTAATATTACACTAGTTCTATGATGAGTCACTACTACTTCATGTATGAATCAGAATAAAGTCTAAATAGATCGAAATCAACAACGACTATAGATGATATTTGAAGTTAAATGATATATCTTCATAAAAAGAAAAAAAAAGAATTTTCTGATCATTTTCTTTTTCAAATGAGACATAACGTTATTCGATAGAATCAATAATTTTCTATTGATTTTTCAATACATTACTATGTTATTTTATAATAATAAAAACCAAAGAAAAAACTTCTTGATAAGTAATGATAACCAGAAGAAAATTTTCTTTTCATCATCGAAAATGAGCCTTTTTCAAATAAATATAATTACACCTTATAGTACCATTAAAAATGTTGAAAAACAAATCAAATTAATTCAGCAGATTGAAGCGATTTGACATAAATGAAATTGTTGTTACTTTACATAGGAACTAAAAGTAATAGTTAAAATGATTAGTGAAACAAAAACAAAAAAAAGAAATTCATAACGATAGGTAGATTTCTCAAGAGAGTCCATAAAAATGCTCAAACATTCGCAATATGAGAAGAAAAAATACATATGAATATTAATTATACCATTATGTTAATTAAAATAGTGAGTAAACAAAAATATTATTGAAAGAGGTCAATTCATTCTTAAATTATTAAATATAAAGATGTGTTGAAGAGATCAATTGACATTTGGAGTATAATTATTTAAAAATTCATTTAGATATTTATAATTGTCAAAAGAAGAAAATTTTTTTTTGTTTAGATCTGAAAGAAAAAAACATAATATTATAATTGTTTATCCATTTGTTTTATAATTATTGAAATATCATTTTTAGTTATTTTCTCTTCATTTTCGAACGGATGAAGAAAAAACAAAACGTCTAGGATTAACATTACTTTTGATTTAGACAATATGTTACTTTGATAGAAAACTTTTTAGAATAAATGAATTTAAATGTTCTAAGTAAAAATTGAATAAATACTTACATTTTTATATTCTTTTTTTGCTTTTAATCTAATGAGTATTGTGACTGGAGAGTATATTCAAATCCATTTTGCCAAGTTTATATGCATAAAAATAAACTTTTTATAATATCAAATATTACGAACTAGATTTTATTATTATTGATATATCAGAGTTGAATATCTGCATTTCTATTTAGAAAACGTCATTAAAAAAAAACAATGAATCAGCAAAAATAAAATTCAAGAATAAAAACGATCTTGACAGATATCCAATTTAATTTGCAATAGTTTTATCTTGTATTTATTTAGAACTATCATGTCCAATAACTAAAAATAATCGATTTGCAATTGTTCGTCAACTCAACTGTCTATATTATTTAAGCGTTTTTATAACAGTAATTTACTCCAATTATCAAAGCCGGAATATCAATTACCGGTTCAAAACCAGAACTAATTTTTATCTACGTGCATAATAGATTTTAAATAATTGTTCATTGTTATATGATTAACATATGCCTACTAATAAAATAATCATGAAATTAAATAGAAATAAACCTGTTCAGACTCAACTATTGAAATACTAGACACGGTCAAAAAGTTTTTATATTTTGATATATCTTTTCATAGGAAAGATATTTCAGTCATCTTATTATACCATATATTCGAGAAAGCTGTTCTGATGTTCGATATATAATTTTATCCTTTTAATTCGCTTTTGAAATATACAATAAATATTAATCTTAATTGCTGGATTATCGCAGTAATTTTACTAGGTTTTTTTTGTACATTCAAAAATCCAGAGAATTTTATAAGTGATGAAAACTATCTTTAGCAAGCGCGATATTTATTAGTAACAATACCAACAAACAGTAATGTTTATCATTATTTTTATGACTGCTTATCATGAAATAGTTTCTGTAGTGACTATGATACTATGTTTTTGATAAAGATTTAGAATCATAAAAAAAAAAAATGTCGTTATGACCAAGTTTTATCAATTTTCATCAGGGTTATCTGAGGAATGTAAGAAAAATAACGTCATTATTTACTTCAAAATAAAAGAAAAAAACCAAGTGAAAGCTTATCAAGTGTACTTATGTTGAAGTGTACTTGTACATCTTTACTTTTTAATATATATTCAAAATAGACTAGATAATCAACAGTTATAACAACTTAGCTAGGATAATAACTAAGGAATTTAATTCAATACCAGTTGTATACTTCCAAAATATATTTCAGAAGTGCGTTAAAAAGATGAAATTGCATATCAAATATCAGAACAATGACCACGAATGTATTATATCAAAAAAGATTAATGAAATGTCGTTTCTATGAAAAAATATATCAAAATACAAGAATTTTTGTGATTATTCTAAGTATTTAATTTCATTTGTCAAACTATTTGAAAGTTTCATTTATCGAAATTTTTATCAGTAATCTGTTTTTTTTTAATATCTTAAAAATAAAATCTACAAACAGTAAACATTCAAATTTAGAATAGAAATACTTATTTCTTATGTAAAGAAAAAAAAAGCAAATAATAACACCTGACTTTAATTCTTGGTATTGCATATAATGAGAATGATAAAAAATAAATTTAACAAGAAATAACACATGTACAAGAACAAAAAAAAAACAAACAAATTAATAAGTTTGTGGTTTTAAATAAGTTCGATTTTCATTAAATTCTGTCCATAAAATACGAGGTCCATAATAATCAATTATATAATGTGAACCATCAGCAGGTGTAAGAACTTGAAGAGCAATTAATCTATCATATAGAAAAATAATGTTTAATTTTAAGATAAGAAAACTTGATTTTACTTACAAAAAATCGACTAGAGCACCGACAAGCATAAAACCACAAGTAAATAATTTTAATAAACCACTAACATAATATCCCAAATAAATACGATCAATACCAAAAATCCCTAATAAAATATCAAAATAAAATAATTAAATTTTTTTTTTGTTTTGCAACAAAAACTCAATACCTAAAAATAAAGATAAGATTAATGTTGTACGATAATATTTTCCATTTGTCCATCGACATGATTTACGTTTTTCAAAAACATATCCATCTATTGTTTCATTATAAATTCCTCCTTGACAAGTAATTTTTGGAGCTGTATAACAAATTATTGGGGCTGTATCATTAAATTTTTCTTCACCGTTTAATACGAAATGATGTCGTTCACAACCTTGAGGTTCTTGTGTTTGATCATCGATTTTTGGATGTTGACAACGATATTGTCCAACAAGTAAATCAATACATTTAGTATTGAGTATTTTTTGTCCTTCCGTAATAGATAAATCAATTAGATTTATGAAGAAGAATAGCGACAAAATATGCAACACCATGCATATACAACAATCTGAAGATAAATTTGTACAAAAACAAATAAAAGTCCGACTAGTAGATACAGCTAGTCTGTTGTCAATTGTGATTCATAGATCGACGAATCCGTAATCACAAGTAATAATAGATTGCGCTAACTGACGTTGGTTTTTTTTTGCTGCATTTTATAATAATCATTTGATTAAATGCAATTAATAATTATAGATATAAATGAAAAATATATAATAATATATCTTTATTTAAATTCATACAAATACGATAGAGAAGAATATTAAGCATCTTTTCAAGAAGAAAATTGTTGGAATTATAAAATATATTTGTTTTTTCTTTAAACACAAGTTGGCTAAAGCGCAAATATAAGAATTAAATTAGAGGTGTGAGGATTACTCTATCTCGCCCTACCATGTAGAATAGAGTAAGGGTAAGGAGAGTGGTGGCCCGATCGAGGAGTGTCACACTCTGTCATCGTGGAAAATTTTTAATTTTTTCCAACAGAACTGAAATTCTCTTTTTGTATTCTGTTAGAAGATAGATATTCTCTCTTTGTAAAAAAGTCATGACAATCATCCTCCTCCATCAAGACGTACAGAATCTGCTCGTAAGTACCCATGTGGGTGAAGGAGACGGGAATTATTTGAAATATTATTGGTTATAGAAAAGTTTTTTTAGTATAGAAAATTAGAGGGAAAGTTTTTCTCTTACAGAAATTAGGACACGAAGTTCGTGTGCAGGTTGTACTAGAATGTTTTCGAGATGAGCAAGTTCCAAGACTACCACAATTACTCGATGAATGATGAACTTGAATTGGTTCTTATATAAAGTTTTTTGAGTATAATAGTTTTGCTTCTTTCTTGATTTCTTTAAACATATATATGTTCAAAATAAAATCATTTCTTTTATTTTGACAGCGAGAGAAATTTTCGAAGGATTCTTCTTCGTAGAGGAGAACTTTTCATCGTAGCGGTAGATTCTACACCTCTACTTCCTCATTGTTGACCGCCACTGAGTAAAGGTTAGAAAATTTTTTTCAGTCAAGGCACATAGTACGAGAAAAGCTTACCCTACACATCTCTATATTCAATGAGAATCATTACATATTATTGTCTTCTTTTTACCACTACGTGATATAAACAATCATATTTTACTGAAAATCTTTTCGAATGAATTAGTAAGACACAACAAATTGTGACCTAGACCTTACTTTCATTTATCAGACAGATACATGAGTAAATATTTTTATTTCAATTTACTCACTTCTTTAGACTTGATTAATAATAGTTACAAAATCTTATCTTCTTTTATTTTCATTCAATAAATTCTACGTGGAAGTGATCAGTTTTGTTTAATGAATAACAGCATACAGTAGTTCAATAGCAAATCTTTTGTTTCCTTTTTATAAAGAAACATAAATGTTAAAGTTCTTCTACTGAAATCAAGCATTTACATATAGCAAAAATTTAAAATTTTTCTTGCCCGAAAACATAATTTCACGAAGAGTTATGTATAATAGATTTGTTTATGAAAACAAATTCTTATTCATTTTATTATTATCACATATATATTCTCTTTAACATTTCATACAATTGAATCAAACAGCACAAAAAAAAAATAACAATAAATAAGATTAATATTAATTCAACGAACAAAAAACAAAGCAAAAAAAAAATTCTTGTACTCTTTTCAATTAAACTTTTGAAAATTCAAATATATTTTTATCATAATATACTCAATAAGATAGCAATAATCTAATAAGAAATTTTTGTAGAAAGAGATACAGAAAAAAAAATTCATTTGGAAGAATAGTCTAAAAGAAAAAAAGTACATCTAGTATAATTTATCAATTGTGAAATACATACGACTGTTGCCGTCGCCTTTATTATTATTATTCTTATTACTAGTTTTTCTATTCAAATTGATAATTGTTCATCAATTGATGCATAACCCGAACTTGAACGTCTTGAACGTTGTTGTTGATATTCTTGTTCATCAATTGTTATTTGATCACCATTCGCTTGTATATATCGTGGTGCATAAATATAACCTGGTTTAATAATAATCGATGAACGTTTATATTCATCATGAATAAATGCACAATTTTCACCTAACAAAAATAAATATTTAAAAAAAAAATTCATTCTTTGTAATTAAAACAAAATTTTTTACCATAAGGACAATTATTAGTCATATGAAAAAGTCGACATAAAACTGATTTATGATTTGTATTTCGTAAATCATCAGAACCATGAGCAAATGTACAATCACCATCGAATTTACATGTACCTGTTTCAATATAATATTTACATAATTCAGTTTTATATTTTGAATTGCTTGTTGACCATGATGAAATTTTTGATTTATCAATAATAATAACTGGGCCACATGGAATTTTTGAAAATGCTGTATTACGTGATAATCTCATATCCTAAATGATAATTAATAATAATAAAATTATTCGAAAAAAAAAAAAACAAAAAAAAACTTCTAATAAATTATTGTGATAAAACTTACAAAAGCTCGAATATATCGTTTTAAATCAATTTCTTCTTTATCATAAAACATTAATTCAAACATAAGTTTATGTCTATAAGCTTCTCGTTGAGCTTGATTAATAGATGATGTCAATGACATTTACTTTTTTGTTTTCAAAAGAAAATTTTTATACATGCGTTTTGTTTTATTTTTTTGATATTGTTGGTATTTGCTCTGCCCAGTTAGTGATAACAAGCCTATGTGTATATGTTTGTTTATATGAATGTCACACTACCGAACGAATAAAAACAATAGAAAGAATATTTTCTTTCATTGTTCAAGGTTCGAATTGAATAGATACGGATAATAATAGAACAACAAGATAGTTGACCAGACGGACGGATGAAAGAAAAATAGATGAAAAATTTTTACGTAAGCTTAGAAAAAAATACTTATAATCTTGACTTTGTTAATTTTGTATGAACATGATTTGATAATTTTTGAAATAATAAATAGAAATTTTTATGCGTTTTAAATGATTTTACTATAGTCCTTTATTAAGTATATTCTTGAATAAAAACAGAATATTGCACAGAATCAAAAGAATGGATTAAACAAAAAAATAATTAATTACAAAAATATCATATTATAGTTTTCTTTATTTCTCGAAAAATCGTAACTCTTATGTGAATTAATATTTATGACGTATAAGTTATGTTAAAGCTTGTAAAAATAATTGATAAATTGGCAAAAAATTAATTCAATCAAAATATGATTATTCATAGAGAACATATTATAAATTTCTTCATTTTTAGAGAAAATGAAAATAAATCTCATCTTCAAATAAGACATTAACTACTTAAATATATATATTTTGTTGGATCTTTACTGATGATTTTCACTATTATCTCAATATTATTTATCAATCAACACATGTTTTATCAAAGAAAAAAAATATCCTATTTATCTTGTAATCTATACTTGACACTTATGATTAATTGATGTTTCTCTACGAACGAGAGAAGTAGCCAAACTAATTTCAAGCTATGGGTTTCATTTGTTTTTCTTCTAAATATATTTCAGTAAGATAAAGAAAAATTCAGAAGAGACCGTGTTTATGATATATCATTGTTGATATATGATCATTCCTATAGCAAACAATACTGCCGTCTTTTCATAAATTTTGCTTCATGATTATAATGAGTCCGACGATATATTTTTTTGTTGTGCATAATATAACTAAAATTCTTTCTGCTATATAAAGTTTCAAGTCAATTATTTGCAAATAATTCAAACTTTATATCATGTGTCATTGCCACAAATATTATCATCAAAAAAAAAAAAAATTAATTCAAATTTTGTTTGATGATCAAAAACAAATCAATTACTATTTTATACGAATATTCGTTAAGCCTAAACATAACAACGATAGTAACAACATTGTACATATAAACAAAGGGAAAAAATAATAATAATATGGGACTAACGAATTCATTACCATTTTCTATGTACGCTTTGCCTCGAAAAGATAAACCAAGTTCGAAATATTCGCCATTCTAAGCGCAAACAGTATTCATCAGATTATCTACGACAAAAAAAAAAGAAATGATTTAGATTGACTTATTATGATCATGAAGACAAAGAGACAAAATTGATTTTTGGTATTGAAATGGTCATATTTCAACAATAATGAAGTAGACCCACGAATACTTTTAAATTTTTTTCTTAGTTCTACTACAATCTATTTATGATTACTAGGTGAAGTCCAGGGCACAGGATCAGTTAAGATATTTCCTTCAAAAGCTTTTTTTTGTTTCTGATACTTTCTTTAGTAAAAAAAATTCTTTTACTTAAATCAAAGTCATATTTATTTTATAGAAAAAAAACTTAGATGAATGAGGATCTATGCATAATTTCTAGATGATCGATGTAAATAGCAGCTTGCGATTACTTGAAAGAGTATATAAAAGCATTCACAATGCTGAATTTCACACATTAAAATGTTTTGATGTAGAAATATTACTTTTCCTTTTCATTTGGTCATTTCAATTGTTGCTACGACAGAAGTTTCACGAATAATTGCTTGATCACCTAAGAGTTAATCTATATTTCCAGCGTTAACATTTCTATGAGGATCATTAGATGGATCTTCATTACTAATAACTTTTATATAGACAATATCAGCTACTTTAACAGTTTTATTGACAAAATAAATATATATCAAAGAATATTAATGTACTTATGACGAACTCATTGTATATTTTCTTATTGCTGATTATTTTTCGATGTAGTTACAGTATCACGACATAAGCAGTAATATATATGCGAAAAAATAAAGAGGGCGTATGAAGGCATGAAAAGAGAAAAGAATTGTGCTTCTTCTTTCTATAAATAATACAAATAAATATCTAGATTTTATCTCATGAATAAAATAGAAATTGTTTTCTTAAATTTTATTTTAATTAAGTAAAATGTAATATAAATTTATTTAATATAAAGTTTTTAAGTAATCACTTTATTATAGTGTTCGATGTCTTTTTCAAGATCTTTCATTGCATTAGCATCATCTTTATCTAATTTGTATGATGATGATGGTAATTTTTGACCTTTTTTAAATGTTTGATCTTTTTTATTTAAACCAAAAAGACCTTTAATAAAATTACGTTTAGCACCTTTTTCACCACGTGTTATACTAATTAATTGTTTTAATTTTGAATGTTTTTCAGGTGGAATACCACTTTCTACAACGTCTTCATCATCAGTTTTATTTTGATCTTCAGATTGTTCTCCTTCATTTTCATTATCTTCATCATTATCATAAGCAGGAGTTGTAGTAAATGAACTATATTTATCTTTAGATTTATCACTACCATACTTTCGATTAGGTGCATTACAACCAAGTAAATTAATTGCTTGTTGAAGTTGAGGATTCATAATTCCGACTGTTGAAGCCATTTTAATATATTTATTATTACATATATCACCCATATTGTTTGCAGATAATGCTTGTTGAATGGCCATACCAACAGCAGCACCTTTTTTATTTATAAGAAAATTAAGTAGATATAGATAAGAAGAAAAAAAAAAGAGGAATAGAAACTAATTTACTGAGCATTGAAATAACTACTGGATTTTTAAGTAATTCACGGAATCTTGATCGTTCACGTGGTGTCATCTCAGTTTCAACATCACGATTCGATTGACGACTACCACCAAATAATTTTGAAAGTAAACCTCGTTTCTAAATAAATGATTATATATTATGATTATAAATTCATAATCCTATTAATAAAACAAACATGAATAACATGACTTTGTGTTGTTAGAATAGTTAAAGTAAAAAACCAAACAAGAAATAATCGTCGAGACCACATCAATTTGTTTCTGTTGTTGATCGAATATTTTCTTTGAAAAGAAACGAGGTGCGTCTATTATTTATATCTCTTTATATCTATCAGGTGTTGACGTGCATATCTTGCCGATACTTATGCGTACTCTTCTTTTATTATTATTTTTTTCTATTTTTCTTTCATCACTTAACAGAAGATTACTAATGATATATTTATTTGCTTCTATAAAGATAGAAAACGAAATCTATTCATACATATGAATAAGACTATCATGATAAATTGGATGCATATAAGAAAATCTATAATATTTTTGTCATTTTGTTCATTAGACAATTGATTGTGATCAATAATAAAATATGCATGTTAGCGTAATGAAAAAAAAAACTAATCAATATTGTTTGTATTAGATTAAAGTTTTGCAATCGAAGAAATGTCTATATGCTCTTCATCCAAGCATTATTCATTTGTAATTAATGACAGTTGAGTTGAAATGTATTCTATCAATCAAAGTAATTGTAGCATCGTTTTCATGTTTCTATAGATTAATCATAATTGTCTCCGATTTCGTTACACTAAAATCTGCCAGAAGACTCATTATGGATTCTTTAAATTTGATTGAATATGAGACATTTATGAAAAGAACTTTTACGAATGCTTAAGAGAAATTAACTGTTACTAGTATACTTTTGTATAATGATTTCTTACCGTTCTTTTCAAGGATTTCTCGGCAATATTTGTAATTGTTGCTAGTGGAAAATATCGGCAAATCTATTCATTACATTATCATCTTGCACTAGTTAAGTTTACTCAATAATAGATCAGATTCATTTAATTTTATTCGTTATATTCTTACGATTATCGATTTCAATCCTACCTTGAATTATATTACCTGACAAATAAGACAAGTCTTTCAATAAATCTATGCTGACACGTAGACACCTTATCTATTTGCTTACATATTTCAAATTTGATTTAAAAAAAAATTATTAAAAAACAAAAACTAAGAAACTCTCATTTTACTGTATCGATTTTTTTTATTCCTGGTAGATTAAAGGATCTATTACGAATGATAGTTGTAATACGAATCGTCTTACTGAAGACAGAGTGGCAGCAATTTACGGATTGCTTAACAATATTAAATGAAATACATTCGTGTTGATATTCATAACGTCTAAAACAGATCGTTCAAAGCTAGCAACAATCGAATATTCAACAGCAGGATGATTTTGATACAAAATATATTGTACTTCAAAGATTAAGGGGTGCGTATTCGTCCAATTCAATTTAAAATGGCTACGAACTTCTACCAACAAGCATCGAAGATTTCTTTTGGCCTGGAAACGGTTGTTTCAAAAATTACTTTTTGGCAGGAACATGTGGCGATCACATCCTCACAATAGCCAACTTCTTGATAGATAGCGTTATTGAACAGTTCGATTTGAAAGCAGTTTTTTATGAACATAAGGATCGTTTGGTATCAATGATACAGTATCTATGAGTAGGGATGAATTTCAAGGATTCATCTTGGCTCTTTTCAATAGTTTTATTTAAAAGACACAATTTATTCACATTTTCTTTATATGTCTTTCTAAAGACACGGAAATAGACAAAGACTAGTAGTATCTGTTACTAATCGAAAGAACTCATCTTGGTAGATTCATAAACAATTATTTATTTGCTTCAGTCCCTTATAATTAAAATACGAGAAAAAGTTTGAATTGTAGGATTTAACGAAATTTCTTCATCATTAAATCCAAACATAATTTTACGAAACGATTGTGGATAAAACTTGTCTTTTTTTTAACTTGAATCATTTTGAAATCATAATCATTTATTTGAATTCATACTAATGAGCAGAGAATTTTATCGTTATCAAAATGTTTGCAAAGGACATTTGAATGAAAAAGAAATGTAATGGTTGGAAAAAATCTTCAATAAATCATTTCTACCTTGTTTTCAGAAACTTCCAACGTGAAAATTGGAAGAAAAGAATAATAAATGACACATTTTATCTACAAGAATGAAGTAGATATAAAGGTAATATTTTTCGTTCGAACGTGCCAGAAACAAATATTTCGATTACTCACACTTAATTACGTGTGTATCAAAAGTCATCAGCTATATTCAGAGAATAAATACATGTATTCTTTTTTATTTTCTAAATTTTCTTAGTTATTTTAGAATATTCATAACGACATAAAAATAGATAAAGTAGATATATTGCTCTATTGAAACTATAATATGATGATGGACAATACTGCTGAATCAATAACAACAGCTAAAACATTTCGTTTTGCTTCAGGTCAAACCTTGACTCTTGATGAAGATAAGATTGAAAAAATCCCATATTTAGCTGCAATGGTGTCTTCTGCAGATCATTTTGAATCACCATGTGACAATTATGATCATTACAAGCTCGATTCACACATTGAATATAAACACTTTTGTTTCGTTCTCGAGTCACTTTCGTTTCATTCAGTTCGACAACTATTTATCCATCTATCTAAAGAAAATAATATTATACTTATAATTGCTCTTCCAGATTTTCTTGGTATTGGACCACAACCAGATCCTACTTTGCAGGAAGTCGATTCAATTTTCTTTTCAACTTTAGTATATAGACCTATGTTAGAAGAATACTTGCAAATAGTTAGACCATCTCACAGTGAGCAATTTTTCACATGCACGCGGACATTTTGTTTTAAAACGCTCCAATATATTCAAAAATACTTTTCTTATAGGTTTTCGCATGTGCTCTTTTCAATAGAGTAGTTTGCAGAACTCAGAAGTACTTTTAAGTTGGTTTTCTAAAAACCATTGGTTTTCCAGAGATCTAAATGGTCTTTTATATATCTAGTTCCGATTTGTCCACCATTTCTTATAGATTTTTGAGTACGCTGATTATGAATCTGGTAATAGAAAGGTTTTACGGAACCTTCAAGAAGATTTCCTTGAAATCCAGGTCTTTGGAAACTACTTTTAATAGAATACTTAAATTGAACCGTTTTCTATGTTTTAGCAAATGCTAACAAGAGCTCAGACTAAGAAAGCACGTCGTCGTATAGTGTATAGTGCCCGCCACCACCCTTGACTCTTTTTTTATGGAGCTGGTCAAGTGATTAGACTTCTTTTACAAATGATAGGCCGGCACTTCAAGATCATTTTTCGTAGATTTGCTATGTGTACGCAAAGAAAATCAAAATTGATGCTAAAATTAAAATTATTAAAAAAAAACTTAAAAAAAATAAAATCCAAAAAATTAACTATTTACAAGCATACTATAAAAAAGGCTATCGTCTTCATTGTTACAAGTCAAGATTGTTTTGTCTTTCTTTTTCTTTTTGCACGAGAATGTTGCGTGGACCCACTTGGTAGCATCCAACTTTGCCCCAAGAGATCGTGATTACAAAATCGAAAGATCCAAGATCTTACCATTGTTCCTGACTGTATCAAAACCAAGCATCGTTAACCTAGTTAATGATCTTTGCAGATTCGTAGTTTCACATCATTGCAGACGAAACAATGAAAAATGGGATTTTCACGTATGGCTGGTTTTTGTTGAAATGTGATCTCGTCTTGAAGTCGTTGAAAGGCACATCATTCAATGCAGTTTCGCGTGCTGATTCCGAATATGTGATTAATTTTGTCTGAAAGTACTTCTAACCCCAAGAAAATAAAGAATACTCTGGAAAACCGGAGGTTTTTGTAAAACTTCTAACCCAGTCCAAAAGCATTTACGCATCTTTACGCTAAGTGAGTAGATGTGTCAGACAGATTTAAACATTATGTGAAAATTTCACGCGTTTTGAAGCTGTACTAAAGTGTGCGCACTCACTACACTGAACACGTCTTTTTTGGAAAACCCTCGGTTGAGAAACAATGCATGGTTTTTCTAACAGAGAGACTGTTAGAGCAAAGTCTTTGTTATAGAACGATAGAGCAAGAGCTCTACTTTCAGAATCTGCATGATTTATTCTTTAAATCATTCTACTTTCTTTGAAACAAAACGCTTTTCTCAAAATTGACAGAAATCAGGCCATTTTTTGGATCTAAGGTTTTTTCGATGTTCTAAAGAGTTAAAATAAAAAAAAAGGTTATCAAAAAATTGGCAATTGGTTAAAGTATATTGGACATTATTCAAATCGCGAAAAATATCACTTTCATTTTTTCACCAAATGTCCACGTTGTTGCCCATTGTGCACCGGTGGACCACATCGTGCCGAATGTATTATGGTCATTCTTTTAATTAAGCATGATACTTTTATTGAAATATGCGACAAAAAAAAATAGTTTTGGATATATTATCACAAATTTATTTGGAATCATCATTATTGTTATTTGATAATAATATATTTTCAAATTGCTGTTGTTGTTGTTTTTGTTATTGATGGTCTAATAGCACGAAGAGATTTACTTGGGTACGATCCTTTATTTCGATATTCGATTAATTCTCTTGCATATTGTCGAATAGCACGTCGTTCATCTCGACTACGTAAAGTTTCAATCCAATAATCTTTACATGATTGTAGACAATTCGGCAATGTATTTTCTATAATAATTTCTCGTAATATTTGTTCAAGAAAAGGAAATTTAAGATGTTCATAATCAAATTCACCCAAACATTTTAGAATACGCTAGAAAATTATAATATATGAATGATTTTCTAATAAAAAATTTGTTATTTATAAACTTACAGTAATACGTAAATAATTATGTGATGATGTGTTGAGATTATGAAAACGTGATTTATAAGAATCACCAGATAAACGATCTATTTCACCTGTTTTTTCATCGATTAATTTAAAACCATAAAAATCAATCCTAATTTATCAATAGAACATGTCAATTTATAAGATTATTTATTTATAAAGATTGAAATTTCTTTTGTAAGAAAAACAAATTCATTGTTAGACTTACATAAGTTTATAAGATGTAAGTATTCGTTTTAATGCTTTTTCATCTTTTTTTATTAATTCAATTTCATGTTTTTGTAATGGTTCAATATACCAATTAAGTCCTCTTTCTTGTAATGGAAATAACCATTGAGTATAACCATGATGAAATTCTAATCTATCATAATCACGAAACCATATTTCATGTATTTTATCAATAAAATCACCATCTGGATAAGATGGTATTTGATTTGTATAAAAACGATAATTTTGTGTTATTTTCGGATCTGATCGTACATTTGGATAATTATTACGATATGCAATTATATCTGATTGAGCCCATGAAAAATAGTTTGAAGCATCTTCATCATCGGAATCATCGAAAGTAATACGACAGTTAGTTGAAGAAATTATTGATCGTGTATTAATGCTAGATCGTTGTTGATTGAAATTATTTTCATTACGTTGAGCCTCGTCACTTCTTATCTCAGTTTTATAAGATTTATCAGGAGTATGTTGTCCATTATTTGGTATTGTTGTCTCTTCTAAATGAATGAAGTAAGTATGAATCTATAAGGTATCCACTACAGTTTGGGAAAATGTTTATTTTTCAGTCTGATATTTCAGTTCAACCTAACATTGTCAAAAATTTAGTGAAATAGTAATAAAAATCGTTTATGATATATGAAACTGGAAGAAATAGCATAAACTGATTCTTAATTAGGAAAAATCTTTTGATCTAAACGACATTTTTTGAATGAACTATATTTTGCAAGTCTCAATTGAATACTTTAGTATAGACAAACCTATAGGCTTACATGTCGGAAAGTTCATCAATATTAGATTTACATATTATGATGCAACTATCAATGATTCAAATCATATGTTATTGCAGGAAGTTAACAGAATAGATTTCTAGAAAAATTTTTCTCATAAAAGAAACAACCTCAACAAAAAAATTCGATGTACCTTCCATAAATTGATATTACTCATGTCTTGATGCGAACAAATTAAATCAGTTTTCATCAATACGCTCCTAAATCATTGCCTCAAAAAAATAATACTCGTTGTAGCATCTTATCATTTTCAATGACATTAGTTATTCAATGGAATATCGTACCAGAAAAACTGATTTCTTAAATCGTAGTAGAAGGATCATGAATATACCTTTCATTGAGTTCTATAAAGTTGTACCTATTTTCAAAAAAAAAAATCACTACTCTATATTGTTCAAATTCAATAAATCCTTTAGTTCTGTTTGGGATAGTTCTTCAAGAAAAATCGATTAAATTGAACTGCTATCTTATATAGATAGTCAAACAATGATATATAACTATGAGTATACCACCAATATCTCAGTAAGAATTCAGAAAAACCAAATCTTTTCTTATCATATTATCACTATCAGTACATATATAATTCGTATATACATACCACGTTGTACATCGACAATAATTTTGGTCACAAATGGTGTTAAATCTTCTCGGACATTGATATGCGGTGGCTTATACAATACTTCTGTGAGTTGTGCTAGTTCTTTCGTCCATCGAGATAAATCTATTTCACGAATGTCGTCTATTTGACTACTTTGTCTCAATTGATTAGTCAATTTCTCCAATTGAATTTCTATCTCAGCATTATGCTTAGCAGTGTGTCGAAATAATAGTTGTTTGGTTTCTTTTGCTGTTTGTTGAATCTTGTTAATTGAGTCACGTTCCCACTGATCAATCTGTTCTATTAATGAATGCTTTCGTGACTGAAATCTTTGTTCTTTAAGTGATTGTCGAAGGAGATCACAAGTACTTGTTATTTCAGATAATTTTCTTCTCAGTTCGTAACGATGATCCACCATATGACTGTAGCAAAAACTTTTTGAACATTCTCCACATCTTGACATAAGGTCTTCTTTGTTACATATCGTGCAACGATTATTATTGATATTTGTAGCCATGTGTTGAATTTGTTGACAATAGTATGTTGGAAAAAAAGAATGTGAGAAAAAAAAGAAGAAAAAAAGCAAAATTTCTCATTTTATGTCAACGTCTGACATTAAAAAAGCTTGAGTCGTTCTTCGATAAACATTAATATAGGAAGAAAAAGAACGAGAAAAAGATGTTAGTGACACAATATTTGCACATTTCAAACATATGTAAACAGTAATGGTGATAGTTAATTTTGTGTGTTGGACACTCACTTCGTATAAACAACCATCTAGATGAATAAATGGGATTCGTTTTAGATTTTTCTAGTAGTTCGTAATTATTCTGATTTTAATACAATTATATGTACGTCTTTTATGATAGTCCATGGATGAATAATCATCATTATTGCAAATATTCTCATTCGCCACTATGAATATCATAATGATGACTTTGAAAATATTATTTATTTTTATGACAGAAGAATAAAAAACATAAAAATAAAAATCAACAGTGTATATTTTAAGTGATCTTCTTTGATAAGAAAAATTATTAGGTTTTTTTAATATGAATTAAAACCTGTCTCATTTTTCGAACGCATCATTCCTATAGTTTTTCTGGTAAGTATTCACAACTTTCAATGGTCGTCATAACAATGAAACTGACAACAATGAACATTTTTTCTAGATGACGTTTCTCAATTAACGTGGTTTCTATCATTTCTGAAATTATATTTATTTAAAGATTGTTTTGATAATAATATATAATCATTGAAAAAAAGGGACTCATGTAAATAACTAAAACTTTATTATCAGATATTATGACAATTCATTTTTTGATCGAGTTTTAACACAATTTAGTGAATTTATTATTCGTTTCGGTATTCGAGAAAAAAAGAGATCTTCAACAATAATATTAAGATTTTATTGTGACTCAAATTCAATTAGGTGAAGTTGATTTTGGATCGATATTGAATCTTTGTATTCGATGATTAGAATTATCAACAACATAAAGATTGCCATATCGATCGATCGACAAGCCCATTGGACAATGAAGCTGATGAGCTTCTGCTCCTTCCCCATTTCCACCAACAACAATAGTACCTTGGGTAGCTCCTTTAGACCAACGTAATACTCGAGCATTACTCCAATCTACAACATATACAGTGCCCAACGAATCACTGAAGACTCCACGAGTGGATGATAATTGTATTAAGCCTTTTTTTTTATCTTGACCACCTGCAACAATAATACCTTCTTTTACACCTTTCATCCACTTCATTACACGATGATTTTCTGAATCCGACACGTAAACTGAATGATCTCGATCGACAAATATCGAGGTAGGAAAGCTAAGCTGATCAAGACGATTACCTCTACCATTACCACCCGCTACCACTATTCCACTACTATCTCCCATTCGCCATCGTCTTACTTCATGCTTCTGTGAATCTGAAATGTATAGAAATCCATGATTATCCATCGTTAATCCTGAGCAGTCGATATCAGATATGAGTATTTGTCCATTTGTGCCATTTCGACGAGGCCATCGCATTACTCGTCGATTACCATAATCAGAAATGATAAGACAATCTTGTTCTTCATCAACAATAACATCTGATGGATTATTCAATTGATGAGTTCTATTTCCTAGCCTATTTCCACCAGCAACAACCTGACCACAGGCTGCTCCATACTTCCATTCTACAATACGATGATTCGAGTAATCAGCAATATACATAGTCTGGTCAATGTCAATGAAGATACTGCGTGGATAATTTAATTGATTCAATCCAATGCCTCGTCCATTACCGCCAGCCACAGTACTACCATTCTGTATCCATTTTGTATTAATACTAATGTTTGGTACATATAGTGGTGCTATAATCAGACCAAAATTTCTGTTTTTAAGAAAGTTATTATCAGTAATTTCTAATCAATATTTGTATTATCGAAATGGGAGAGTCATATTTGATTGAAAGACAACATATCTTATTTGTTTAATATACAGAAAAAGTGATTGAATCAAATAGATTAAATCTAGTGTTTACTTTTTTCCGACACTTAGAAACTAATTTCCAAAATACCTTGAGCTACAAATATGCAGCTTTAATTATGAAATTTTTTTTGATTTTAAAATTATTCTTTTCTATTCTGAACACAATGTATTTTGTTTCTTATTCTTGAAATAAATCTATTATCTTTTATTTTCTATAATCATCACATTGATCTATTATTCTTTAGCTAATAAGTTAAATGTTGCTCATCGAGCTGATATTTTCTGAACACTTCCTCTTGTGAAATTAAAAAGTTGCTGATGAGAACGAAGGCAAAAGGAAAGAGGAAAAGTGAGGGTAGAGAAGATGTCTACATCTATTTCAATATGCTTTTAATTGATACAAGTTCTAACAAAGTGGCGATGCAAAAAAAAATGTTATAGGAGCAACTGTCTGGAATGCAACATTCTTGAATTCTGTTCAACTATATTAAAAATAGACAGCTTTTTTTCCTCATAAAGAACATGTTCATTTCTCATCAACGGTAATACTATTTGACAAAGTTCAGAAAGAGAACAGACTTTCAAATTTTGTAAACACGCTTCTTTGGGGAAATTCAAGTAAATTAAATAGAAATTGAAATGTAATATTATTAAACTCAACTTTAAATGAGAATCTGAAAGAAATAGTTGATCACTTTTTAAATTCATACACAGTAGAAGATGCTCTAATTCTTCTGTTCCTTATACAAAATTCTATGTATTTTCTTAGTTGCAGACATTTTATTCAATATATCATTTTTCTAAACTTACTAGTAATGATATTTTGCTAGAATAAATATTCATAATTAACTATTATATGATAGAAAAAGCATTAGAGAATATTTTAGGTTTAAAGAGTTCAATCGCGTAGAAAATCATAATCGAAACTGTTTCTTTATGGAAAGTTTTTGTTTTTAATTGTAAAATCCAATGAACCCTTTTTTTGATCTTTGTGAAATATTTTTCCAAGAAAACTAACCAGAGCGAACTACATCATGCTGAAGAATAATTTTATAATCCTGTACATTAGCTCGCTTATTTTATCTCAATGAAAATCGGAAACGAATGAATTCTGTGCTACATCATTATTCTCGTCACTACAAATATCAATAGTATAATTACTAGTTTTCATGTGGACGAAAATCTTGTGTACAAGTGGTGTAGAATCTTGTCGGAATATGATATTTGATGGATTGGTGAGTTCTTTCTTTAATCTGTATAGGTCTTCTTGCCATTGATTTATATCTGTTTCCACGAAATTATTTTCTTGACGAGTTTGCCATATTTGATCAGTTAATTTATTCAAGTGAAGTTCTGTTTGAGTAACATTTTCAGTGATATGCTTGAGTAATAGTTGTCTAGCTTCTTCTGCTGTTTGTCGAATTATGTTGATAGAGTCATGTTCCCATTTATCAATGTTTTGCATCACTGGATGTTTTGCTGGTGGAGATGTTTGTTCGGTAAGTGTTTGTCGAAAGAGGTCACATGTGACTTCTACTTCTTCCATTTTTTTACTCAGTTCTTGACGATGATCTGTAAAATGACTCGAGCAAAAATCTTTTGAACATCCTTCACATTTCGATTCGACTTTTTCTTTGCCACATATAGAGCAACAATTTTTCTCAGTAGTTGTAGCCATTTGCTGAATACGTTGATGATGATGTGTCGACAAATAGGTGTTTGAAAGAAAATAAGAAAAAAAATGGGCGGCAACAATGTTTTTCTACATAGCTTCAATTGGCGATGTAAGAAAGTGAATCATGTTCAAGTAAACAATAACATAATGTTACAGAACAGCAAAAGAAATTTATTGTAGAATCTTCTTTCAATCGAAAAATATATTCTCAATAAAACTTTTAAAAACAACCTTATCTGTGTAACAGTTACTTTATGTAAACGTTTAGGTGAAATGATGAAAGGAATTGATAACCATTCTGATATTATCACAACGACAGAGCACGAAAAGATCCACAAGCTATTCTTCAAACGCTTAATATTGTTAAACAAATTCAACAATCACCCTTCTCATCTTCATGATTCTTTCTCTTTCTCTCTCTCGTTTTTTTTTAATCTTTGTCAATCTGAACAGTAGAATATTTCTATTTGTGAGACGTTGTTGTTCACGTAGTTCAATCTATCTCCGATGTTGTGTGAAGAGCGATCCTCTTTATTCGAAAAAAAAAGATGAACTGACCTTCACAATAAAAAAAGAAGGGCTGGCCGTGTGTGGTGCATCGGTTAATCGAGCGAAAACAAAAGATAGAAGTCAAATCAAATACACATACATATACGAGGAAGAAAAATGGCGGAGGAAGGAAGAGGGGAAAGCAGAAACACAGTGTATACCTTGATCCTCTAACACTAGTGACCATTTTAATTTGTTTTGAACTTTTTTTGTTCCGAATTTTATTGATCTATCATTTATCTCATAGGCTATATATATGTTTATTATATCGTGACCTATAAGCAGTACCATATAAAAGAAAAACATACCAACTTGCATTTGTATTCAATAGTTAAATCTATACTATAAATGCACTTTTTCTTGAAAACAATGAAACGAATCAATTGTTCTTATCCATATAGATTTGGGACTTTAGCAAACTATATAACGGGTGTGGCAGGTTGAATAGCCGCGTTCTATATTCCAATTTTCGTTTACTTATTACAATGTTTTAAAAAAACAAAATACACCAAAGGATACAACGTGAAAAGCTCTATAATGTACATAAAATCCCTTTTTTTACAGTTGCACTTTTTGTGCTTAAAATGGTCAAAACTTCTAACGTTCAAATTTCGACTGTCCGAAAACGATATTTTTTTTTGTACAAGATGAATTTGTTTTTACTTATCTCATTTTTTTACAGTTATTCTCTGTAAATTGCAGAGCTTTTCACGCTGCATCTTGTGGTATACTTTGGTTTTCTTTTAATAAAGCATATGAGGTGATATATAAGAGAAAAAAAAACGCTTTCGTGGTGTTTCAAAAGAATATCGTTTTCGCAGCGTTGAATTTTACTCACTTAGACTTTTGTCGATTTAGAAAACAAAAACAGTTGAACTATAAAAAAAGCTGTCGTATGTAAATTGTAGAGCTTTTCATGCTGCATCATGTCGTATATTTTGCTTTTTTAAATACATTGTATTAAGTGAATAAAAATTGAAATATAAAACGCGGTCATTCAACCTGCAGTACCCGTTAGTAGGTTTTTTTGTGAAATGAACAATGATCATCATCTTTTCTTCTCTTTATTTGATCCTTATTCCAATCAGTCTGAAGAAATATATTGAATCAATAGGGATTATACAACCGTTCAAAAAAAAACCATTCTTCTATGCACAAATTTTTTGATGAAAAGTTCATGGGTTAAATTTTTCACTCACGATAGCGACTATCAGTGAACAATAAATGTACATATACAGGTACATCTATTTCCGTGATAAGACTATTCACAATTTGAAAAAAAATGAGTCAGTCTAACGTTGATTTTTCTGACTTGCCAGATGAAATATTGTTGAATATTTTTCAACTCTATGCACAATTCAACGAAACAACGGAGTAATGAACAGATTTAAAAAATACATGACAACCATTGTCAAACATAATTACCCATCTCTTGACTCACTATCTGTGGAAATTCTCTATCGAATTCTCGACAATGTCGATGGAAAAACTATTGTTCTTTCGTTTCGTAACATCTGTACAAAGTTCAAGATGATTGCCAATAGTTACAATCAATATAAACTCGATCTAACTTCCATCTCAAATGCTAACTTTGATTTCATCTGTCATCATATTCGTCCCGAAAATCTCATCTCACTTGATCTCTCCAACGATGAGAAGACACCAGATGCAATCGATCGATTGATTCGACATCGTTCTCTGACCTTACTTCAATTGAACGATAACGAACTACAAAATCGTTAGCATTCGATTTTCGCTATTTGTCCACTCACATCTCTGTCAATAAAATCAAAAGATGATGATCAAAAGCAAGTACGGTCTCTACTCTTATCCATTGTCACACAGTCTAATCTTCATCGACTCGATTTTAATATTAGTTATTATCGTGAAATTAACAAAATTCCGTAGCCAGTCAACTGCAAATTAGAATATTTACAAATGAGCACATGCACTATTCAACAATTTTGTGCTATTCTGGATCATTCGTCGAATCTTCGAACATTGGTATTTCAACATTGCAGTGAAGTCAACATCAATTCACCAGTCATAAAAACATATTCACAATTAACCTCGTTGACATTCGGACGGTTCGATTTGTACATACACCATATCGAGGTAATTCTTTCGCACACACCGTTACTTGTTTATCTCAAAGTTGTAAACTACAAAGATGCATGCCAAACATTATTCAACGGCACTCGATGGGAAAAGTTCATTCAGATGAAACTACCTCAACTGAAAAAGTTTGAATTTTTCTTCGCCAAAATTCCGAGTCATATTGATGGTTCTGCTGAAATGATATCACTAATCGCACCATTTCGAACACCATTTTGGTTTGAAACAAAACAATGAACGGTCGCATTTACCTATCTCAAACATATTTGTCGAGTAATTCTCTGTTCGTTACCTGGTTGTCTTTCCTCATTCTCGTATTATTCTGGGTATCAAGAAAGTGGCGATTCTGACCAACGATTGTATTCCACGAAACCGGCTACTATCAAAGAAGTATGCTGTCAATGATACAGGGGAATTCTTTTCTTGAATACATCTATTCTCCCTGAGTAATTGTTTACTTCACACGACTCAATCGTTAAAACTCGAGTGTACAGATAGATAGATAGAAACAAAAGGAATCAACAGGAGAAACAAATTTTTGCAAGTAGCGGGTGAATGAACAAAGATTTTCAGTTTTTACTATTCCTTTTTTTTTTTGTTCAAAGGATGATTGAACTCAATATTTGTTTGACAACTTGTCTGAACTCAATCTTCATATCTATGGACGACTGTCGATCAGATGCATCGATGTTCTATCAAGAAGGATCGATCTTTCACAACTCATCGAACTTTCTCTCGTCATTCATTTCTTTTCGGATTCGATTCAACAGACAATGACTCATGTTACTATGTTCGAAGGAACGTGCAATCTTAGATCATTGAAAACGTGCGCTCATCATCTCGAACATCTAAAAATAAATATTACGAATATTGATGAATTGACAATGATTTTCGAACGACTCACGCACTTGTCCAGTGTCACATTCGAATTATTATTATTTGGAACTATTTCTAGTGTAGAAATCATCGACTGGCTCAAAATTCATGTAATCAATTTCAGGTTTCGAACGGACGAATCAAATGTTTATGTTTGGTTGGGAAAATATATGAATAAGTCATCAGTAATCAAACGAGGATCCAAACGTGTCGAGTTGGCTCACAATCATCACTGATGGTTTTTTTTCCTTCTCATATTATTTATTGTAATTGAAAACTGTTGAAATTTTTGTTTTATTAAAAAAGAAATAGAGAAAACAATTATTCAGAAATCAGATGAATAATAGATTCAAGTCTAATGGTGTACAAAAAGAAATCATCAATTGATGTTTGCATTTTTGTTTCGTCAAATTTCGAAATGTTCAATTCAGACCTAAGTAACTTTTCACAGTCTTTCGAATGGGATAATGTATTTCAAAATAAAAAAATTTTCGTATGCCAATATTCGGACATTTTGGTCACTTTTCTCATGGATCGTCTCTTAAGCGATAGATTATTTAAAGTAATACATAATGAAAATGACGAACATGATTATAGTTACAAAATAATCAGTCTATATAGTGTTTTCTAGTGACTAATCTATATATATGTAGTTGTTCATATTGACACAAGTAGATCCATAGTTGAATATGATTGGCATAGCCTGAAGTTTTAACAATTAAACATGTTGATGGTAAATAAACTTGTAACCATTGAATAAGTTCATCTATATTTCATGAATGTTCATCGTAAGATTCATTATTGTCGGTTGTTCGTGGTAACTGTTTGGAAGTCTTTTTATTGTTCTAATAAATATATACTGATCAAAGTTTGATTATGTTTTTGACAAGATTAATTATGCTTTCAGGATTGTTAACTTCAATGGAAAGAACTTCACATTGAACAGTTAATGGTGAACGACTTAATATAATACATTCTTCACTATTAAAACCATGATTATAATATCCTAAATGAAGTCTATGAAATGATGCATTTGTACATTTGAATAGTGATATTTGTAAAGTAAATGATCCATCTTGATTGATCGTTAGTGTGTGAAGATTGGATGCTCGATTTAATAAAGTTTGTAATTGTATATAGTTGGATATGGATCATACTTTGTTTACAGATACACTAATTTTTGTCAAGGACCAGAACTTATGAGGCGCCCTTTAGGGGTTATAAATATATAGTTATAAGAGATTAGGGTTAGATATACGGAGTTTGAGATAATATAGGGGTTAGAGATGGATGAATATTAAGGATTAGGGATAGATATAAGGATTAGAAATAGATAGATGTAAGGGATTAGAGATAGGTATAAGGGGAAGGGGCTAGAAATATATGGTTATAAGAGGTAAGGGATAAGCATAGGGAGTTAGAAATACATAGATATAAGGGATCAGGATAGGCATAAGTTGTTAAGTATAGATATAGGAGTTCAGTGATAGATAATTATAAAGGATTAGGTAAAGATATAGGGATCAGAAACATAGATTTAAGGGGTTATGCATACATATAAGATGTGTAGTGGATTTTAATCGATTCCTAGTGAGTTTCAATCGGTTAATAATTCATTATTAATTGATTCCTAACTGATTATTAATCGATTAAAATCATACAGCTTTTAATCGATTAAAGGGTGTATGATTTTAATCGATTTTTAATAAAAAATGAATCGAATATAATCTGATTTTTTCCGTAGTATTTTTACATAAGGTAATATGCAACGAAAATCTGACCCTAAAAATAAAATTAATTTTCCTATGAAGTATATGCTATTTAAAAATAATTTGTTTGTTATTTGCGTTCAAAAATATGCTGATACAAATAGCTGCTTATTTCTAGTTTGAAAACATAATCAAATTTTTAAAATTTCATAGACACTCACATAGTCAAAGTCAAAGATCAATTTTCAAATCAATTACAATAATCATTGAAGAAGGACTTTCATGGTAGAACAGTAAAAAAAGTCAAAGAAAAAACTTGATCTCAATTATAATTACAAATGAAGTAGGCAGTTTCACATTCGAACAATCAAAATGTAAGCGTGGATCGCGTTTGATGTGTGACTGTGTGGTGTTGGATACGATTGTGCGTGATGCCGAAGTCTCTATTCCACTCATACTTTACATCTAACATTGATACCCGTTTGTGATGAAATAAACCGTTCAAAATAACGATCTTTCGAAAATAAAGGGTGAATGTTGAATCGGATTGTTTCGAAAAAAAGCATATTTCAAAGTTAGACAAATAGTCAGCAACAAATTCAATCTTTAAAGAACTCGACCGGATTTATAAATCCAACTTCGCTCTATGTTCAAAGGACTCATCATATTTTAGATCAAAAAAGAAAACTAATTTTTATCATATCTACTCAAAACGTAAAAGAAATATAATTAATCTGTAATAGATTCGTACAGATAAAATTATTCTTTTGATTGAAATACACTTAATAGCGATACAATTATGGCATATATTTTCTGCGTAATAAGTATACTTATTCATTGGTTGTCATTTTCATGTTATATTTCCTAGTCCAAAGTGTTTATATTTGATGAAAAATTGAATCCGAATCAATCATGATTTATTTATGAGATCTATTTACATCATGAAATCATCAAATGAATAATATATACTTACAAATATTTGTATAATAGAAAGCGAAGGTAAAATCTAAACTTGTTTCTGTCATTTTATTTTGACATCATTAATTATGTATACTCCCATTTGCTACTAAACATTTTCGGACGAATTATGCAATAGTATTTTATATTAATTACATAACAATATCAAAATGATTTTTAAAAATTAATTCTTTCAATTAATAAAACAACATTATTGTTGTAACTATGTTTACATAGGCATAAATAAATACACAATCAATACAATTCTGATTAAAGTTAGAAACTTTATTCTCGAAATATCAAATTGATTTGTTTTAACTAATCGAAAAAAAAATGAAGATCATATAATATAACAATAAAAAAAAAAGATTAACGCCAAGCAATGTCTACGACTACTCTTTTGTTTTTTTTAGATCTCTTGTAGCTATCCGTCGTCTACATATTATTGAATAGATCAAAAAATAAGTTCTTTAGCAATAGGTAAATTTTTGAAAAAATGAAAAAGTATATCAGCATAGGAAAGTATTGGTGTTGTCATTGAATTTGTATTAGACAATTGACCAAATAATTGATAATAAAATCGATAAGGCGCTAATGCAAAATGAGCTACTTTATGAGATTTAACAAGAGCATAACATGATGCATGAACATTATTAACAATAATTGTACCTTGTTCAGTTAATGGAGCCATAAGACCTTGTTTATAAATATCAGTTATTTCGATAATCTCTTCCCATTGTGTTTCATTTTTATGAATTGATGATAAAACAAGTATTTCATCACCTTTAATTAATTTTTCAGCCCAAATAAACCCATTTTGACGTTGATGAATTAAATGACGTTTTGATAATTCAATAATTGAATTTTTTGTACGTATACGTTTATATAAAGCATGTTCATTAAGTTCTCGATGAAGAAATGCAATTATTGGTGAATAACTAATGCGATTTTCTTCATTAATAATTCGAACTTGAGAACCAATTTGTAAAGATGATAATGGAACTTTACCAATATTAAGTACATCAACAGTAGCATCTGATGGAAAACATTCCACCTCTAAATAATTACAATAAAGATGACTTGTTGTTTTTTTTTTCTGTTTGTATAAATAAAATAAACTTACGTTCACAATAAACTCCTTTATTTCGATTACGGCATTGACAATAAAATTGATTATCAGGTTTTCGTACACAATAACCTCCATTTAAGCATGGCGATGGATTGCATGGATCATTACTACAAGTTGGACCTGAATATTCAGGTGGACAACTACAACCACCATAAGGTTCTTCATTCGTTCGAATACATGTTCCTTAAAAAAAAAAAATAAATAAATAAAACTTAGAAATAAATTATCTATAATTGAATTATTACCTCCATTAAGACAAGGAAATGTTGCACAAAAATCTGCTGAATCACATCTTGGTCCAGCAAATCCTGTTCTACAAATACATTTATTAGCAACACAAGTACCCTTAAAAAAAAATAATTATGATTAAATTTAATTTAAAAATAATCTCTTTTCATCCTTACTTGTGTACCATGACAAGTGGCCTCTCCACAAGGTACATAACTAAATTGATTACAAGTTAAACCACGAAATACTGGTGTACATAAACATTGTGCTAGCAAAAATTCGAACAAAAAAATAATTTGAAAATAAAAGAAAAAAAAACAACATATTTCATATTCTACCTTGATTATTTTCTAATAAAACACAAGTTCCACCATTTTTACTAAACAAGAACAAAACAAAATACAAACATTTACGTTTTCAAATTAAAATTATTATTAATTTACCAAGGATTTGGATTACAACTAACAGCTCGTACAGATATTTCACAATAAACACCTCGATATTCTGCTGTACATCGACAATAACCTTGAAAATTTCCTACTTCTACACAAGTTCCATCATTTAAACATGGACTTGATGAACAATAACCACTCGGTACTCTAACAGCAACTGATACATTGTTATATGCATTTTCACAATAATCACCATTGTATCCATCGCGACAAACACAAATTCCCTATTTACAAGAAAAAAAGAAAACATTTCTATCTTCTAACAATAAAGCAAACATTTTTATAATCTAACTTTTGTCGTTGCTGTATTTGTTACAAAGCAAGTGCCACCATTTTCACATGGATTTGTTAAACAAAAAACAAATTGTGAATGATTACCCCTAACTATAGTTACACTATTACTTAAACTATTCGTTCGTGGAGTATTATCATTTAATGAACTTCCTAAATTATTAAGAACAGCTAATGTTTCAGCATCAAATTGTTTATATTCCACACGTGGTACATTATCAGTTGATTTTGATTTTAATTTCATTTTTTTATATTCACAATAATTACCAGAAAAATCTTCTGGACAACTACATTGTGCACCATAAACTAAAATAAATTGAACAAAAAATATTTTTAATATAAATATCTTATTTTATCTTTTTTTTTTTGTTTTTATTTACAAACCAGTATCAAAACATGTTCCACCATTGTGGCAACTATTCGTTTTACATGAAAGTAATATACGACAATTTTTACCAGAATGATTTGATGGACATAAACAAATATAATCAGAATTTGCTACATCCACACAAGTACCACCAAACCAACAAGGATTTGTATCACATTGGGAAGTTGTATTACATAAACGTTGACATGTTTCACCACAAACACCCTTTAAAAACGAAAAAAACTTGATCATAAAAAAAAACAGCAAAGAAAAAAAAAAGAGTTTACTTTAGGACAATGACAAATTTTCTTTAAATAGCCACTGGAAAGACGTAATAATTCACAGTCACCACTACGACAATCGTCTGTATGACAAAATTCTTTGAACAAAGAAAAAAAAAGCAATAATGAAAAATAATTTAAGAAAAAAAAAAGAAGCATCAATATAATATCATGTCTATTTACCAGCATTGATAGAAGAATAAATTAAATTAAGAAAAATAATCAATAGAAGAGTCTAAATTATATTACTATATTTTCAATTATCGAATACTCTTCTTGCTTACCTTCATCATTGAATAGAACAACTCCTATTCAATAGACCTTTCTTTTCTCAAGTGATATTAATGATAAGGATGATCGATCTTTTTTCTTATGCAAAGTAGGTAGATCAATCGAATATGTATACGAAAGTTGATCCTGTTCAAATGTCAACATAGTTGAAAATGATACAAGATGTTTGTTTGATTGAGATAGATGACATAAGTAATCAAACAAACGAGTGATGACCTTAGATAAGGATTTGATCTTTTTTCTTTTGTTTGAGGACAGAAAAGAAAGAATTAAGGTGCAAATTTTCTTTGAAAATAAAAGAGAACAATGTATTCAAATGTCCTTGCCAAAGTAAAATATGCTAATGTGAAATGAGAGAGAGAGAGAGAATTTGTGTTCAAAGGGGACGAAATAAACGCGTATACAAACAACAGATAAAAAGAAGGAGAAGAAAGAAAAAAAAAAAGACAATTATAAAGTTTGAATTACACAAAACACTATAGAAAAATAGTTATTAAATCGTCTCTTCAGAAACATATTTTTTCAATACATGATTTGTACTAATTATTATATCAGGATTTTGATTTCTTTGTCGTTCTTTCCATGGTGTTATTGCCAAACGAAATCTCTATTTACAAAAAGATAATTATAAGACAAAAAAAAGAAAAATTCTTTCAAAATCATATCAATTTATTTTTTTACCATTACAAAACTTCCTTGTTCAATTAATAATTGATAAATAGCAACAGCTGGTATAAATATAATTGATGATAATGCAAACATCCAACCAAGTAAATGACTCCAATCGGGATACTAAATTAAATCAATAGATGAATCATTTTAATTAATAAAAGACAAAAAAAAAAAGAATTGAAAACCTTATAATAAAATGGATCAGTTAATTTTCCATATGTTGGATTAATATAATGGATTAAACCCGAAAGAATAATTCCCTTAAAAAAACAAATAAACAAAATTAAAAAAAACTTTCTAAACATCTAATATTTTTCTTTCTTAATTTTTACTCCAAGAAATAAAGGTGAAGCAATACACCATGTTCCAAGCCAAAATTTTCCAGGTTTCGTTCCAAGCATTTGTTTAACATCTTCACTTATACGTGTTATTCCATAAAGCCATGACACAGCTATTGCTTCAAAAAAGACCGCAATAATAATCGAATAAAATGCTAAATATAAGGGATTGGTTTTTTTTTTGAAATAAATATTAAAAAAAAAAGATTTCTTTTTTTTACCAGCATAATTTTGTAATAATTCAACAAAATAAACACCTGCATCAGTACAACTTGGAATACCAATAAGAAAATAGAACAAAAATAAAATTCCAACAAACCATTCTCGATGACGTCGTAATACAGGAAATTCATCACTCAATGCTGTTATTATTGCTTCACTTCCACCAAACTATCAAAATTATAAATATAGAAATCATTTTATAATAAACATCAATAAATTATACATACTGATGAATCTAAACCAAGTGTTAATAACATTAAAAAAAAGAATATAGCCCAAACCGGTGCCCATGGCATTGTTGCAATAGCTTCTGGATAGACAATAAAAACAAGTGTTGATCCTTGTTCAGCTACATCTTTTATAGCTCGTCCAGATACTTCACTCATATAACCCTAGAAAATAAAATATTATTGAAATTTTTTAAATAGATATATTTTAAATTTACCAAAAACATAAAAATTACAAAACCACTTGCAAAACTTGTTAAACTATTAACTGCTACAGTTATCATTGCATCTCTAAGAAACAACATGAAATTTATTAAGAAACTATTTGAAAACAAAAACAAAAAGTTCTTACCTAAAAACATTATGATGAAAATCGTTATAACTTGCAAATGCCATTAAAACACCAAAACCAGGTCCCAATGAAAAAAATGTTTGTGATGCTGCATCAACCCATACAGATGGATCATTAAGTTTACTTAAATCTGGACGTATATAATATTCGATACCTTTCATTGAACCATTTAAAAAAAGACCACGTATCATTAAAATTGTTAATACAACATAAGGAAATAGTGCAGTAAACCAAACAACCTAAAAATAAAATCATATGAATTTCTTGCAATAATTATCAAATGTTTTCTTTTTTTTTTTCTTTTTTGTATTTTACTTTGCCGGATGTTTTAACACCTTTCCACATTGAAAAATAGCAAATAAGATAAATTATTGCAAGACAACCCAAATTTTGCCAATTAATATTACCTAAATTTTCTAAACTAAGATTATGTGTTTGATTTAGACGATAGACTTGTAAACTGCAACAAAACAAAAAAAAATCGAAAAAAAATAAGATAGATCTTAAAAATCTACTTAAAATAAAAAGACTTTTTTTTTTTTACTGAAAATATTCTTGTGCAGGTGAAACGATTTTTAATTGTGTTAATTTTTCTGAACAATTTTCATAAAATAAACTTGTTTCAAATGAATGTTGTTCATTAGAATTTATTGATGATAAATCTATTGTATTATTTAATGTCGTATTAAATTGATTAATACAATCCTTTAAAAATTGACGTCGTGTATTAACTGTTGAACAATCTGGTGTATTCCATCGATGATCTAAATATTAAATTTTAACTTTTCAAATAAATAATGATATCAAACAATTACATACTACATTCACTCCATGGTAAAATTTTCCTGAATGAAGCAAATAAATAATAAAGACCCCATGATATGACCACATTATAATAAAAATCAGTATAGAATGCAATTATAGTTACAGCCCAACCGATTCCAGCTAATAATGGACATATTTTTCTCCAACATGTTATTGCACCTTGTCGATAATATTGTCCAAGTAAAAGCTCCAAATAAAATAAAGGCATACCACCGAGTACAACTGAAAGAACATAAGGAATAAGAAAGGCACCTAAATAAAAAATTGAAATAAATATTAAGAAAATAGACACACGAATATGTTTCCTAACAAACCTCCACCATTTTTATAGCATAAATATGGAAAACGCCATATATTAGCAAGATCAACAGCAAAACCGATAATAGATAAAAGAAAATCAAGTTTTTCACTCCATTGTTCACGTATTTCTGTTTGTTGTTCATTTGATTTATTCATTGCTAATTCTGTTGTACCGACATCAACAATTGTCACACTATGTTTTTTTTTTGAATTATGATGATGATATTCATCTTCTATTGATGTATCATTATGTATCATAGGTGCTGAAGTTGCACGATTATCTGTTAAAGAAGTATCTTCAAATGAATGTCTTCGTGTCATATTATTTTTTTGATCTAAGAAGAAATTTCTTCTGTTATAGATCAATTACAATCGATTTTCACAACTTACGATCGGCCGTATGAATATTATGATGACTTAGAATACGTTTAACCATTGGACGGCTTTTGTTTTCACACGATAATCATATTTATATAGAACCTTTTAAATAAAAAGAAGAAAAAAAAGGCGAGAATGAAGATTTCTGTTCAATCTTTCATATTATGTAAAAGATGAAAAAGCTTTTAATCGACGAGATTGATTGTTGTCGTTTGTTCTATCGTCATTGCTCTTTTTTTTACCCGATCGTGTTTTCAATAATTGAGCACAATGACAGATTTTCAAACGAAGAAAAAAGGTAATCTTAGAGCAATCGGAGAATATCGTTATAAATTTTCCTTCTTTTTTTTTATTACGAGCATATACTAAATGCTTTGTTCTCTAATGTCAATCTGCAGTTTGTCTCATTGGTAAATGCTAACTTATTCACGTATATAAAAATTGTACCTTGGAAGACTATCTATAATAGAAAGAAAGAAAGCAAGAAGAAATAAGCAACAAAAAAAAGACTATAGAATATTGAACAAGGGGCAGGCTATTTCTTTTTCTTTTTTACTATGTTGATTATAAAACAAATGAGCTTGAATTAGCAAAGTCGGATGCATAAACGAAAAGTATTATTTACCTATTGGCGGCTCGGCCGTTATCGGACGCGTTTCCGTTTTTAAAGCGTTCTAAATCGTGATCGATTGTTCTGCTATGAGAAAAAAAAACGAATAGATAGTCATTAACAGAACATTTATCTTGTTCTAACAATTCAAAAGAAATCCGATTGATGATCAGTACTAATAAATACACTAAAAAATTGTTCGAAGATGGTTTTTTGGTAAACAGATAAAAGTCATTGAGAAAAAACAAAAGCAATCTGTATCTTATTTGCACTATACAAAGTGTCATAAAGAAATAAATAATCAATCGATAAGTGAATAAATATGTCAATAATTAACTACGCTCCGTTTCGTTTCACGGCATTATATATATATATATCATATCAACAAAAAATGGACTTTATCTCGATGTTTAACTATAATATATTTATTTAGATTAAAACAAGAAAATAAAATACGATCTGTAAAAAAAAATATAATTTTTTTTTCATGATTATTAAAATATAAGAATGCCTAATTTTGCTCGATTTTTTTCCAAATCAACTTTTCTTCGTGTACGTCCATCAGTCGTATCTGAACAACGTAATGAATCAATTGAATGTAAAATTTCACCAAGTTGACGTAGTTTTGTTGATTTTAATGATGATTGATCAGTAGTTGATTCCAGAGGTTGTCGTTGAACATTTGAAACTTTTTGTTGATCGAAATCTATTTGATCTTGTTCATCAGTTTTTATTTCAGAAAATGGTTCAAGAATTTGTTCAATAGGATTTGAACGTATTAATTCATTTAAATGAGCATATTCACGATCACGAAGACGTGCTATAGCTATTGTACGTTCCGATGTATCATCATTACTTGCTTCCATCATATCAATTTTACTTGAAGGACGAAGTTTTTTAGTAGTTTTACGATCTTGTATCATCCATTTAGGTGGTGGTGTACGAGATGTATATTTTCTATTAAGACAAAATTTGAAAAAAAAAATAAAGAAAATTAAAAAGAAAAGTATTTAATTAAACGAACCCAACATCATTTTCTTCACTAAGAAATGATTTAGCTTCATCATATGTTAAATCAGATTCATCGGAAAGACGTGAAATAGGTGGTGAAATATTAATTCGTTGTTTTTTTATTAAATCATTTTTATCTTTTTGTTGTTTATTATAAAATTCTCTTGATTCAATATCTGTCACTTGTCGACGAAGTAATGGTAAATAACGATTTGATGGACTTAAAAATCTTTCTGGATGAAGACGAAATTCTTGTAATGAATTTTTTGCTGAATTTATTCGTGATAATGATCGTTTAGGTTTTGATGAATGTTTAATTTGTTCATTTATATTATCAATATTTGATGATATTGTTTGTACTGGTGGAGCTGAATTTGATGTACGAGTATTATATGATGAACTAGATGATTGAATATCATTTGCTGATATTATATTTTGTTGTATTTCTTTGTCTACATTGTATGAATGTGATTTTCGGCTGACATGAGCTGATTGACTAGTTAAATATGTACCATCAGTATTAATTCGAAATTGAACATGACGTTTTTGAGAATCATCATCAACTGGTGTTGCACTTGAATTTGTAACAATTGGCTAAAAAAATCATAATTCATTTAAATTATATCATACGATCATCTATGAAGTAATAAATCTCAAGAAGGACTTTATTGAGAAATGATTTCTTTTTTGTTTTGTCTGCTTTATAAATACATACCGTATCACTAGTAGTTTTACTTTCAGTTAATTTTCTACTTATTGGTGATGATCCATATGATCGAATATGTTTTTTATTATGTTGAAGAAATGTTTCAGCAAGTGATGCACTAGTTTGTGTACGTGCACTAGCAGATAAATTTCTTTTCATTGATGATGGTGTTACAGATGGTGATCGTGATGGACTTCGTTTAGATGATGAATTTTCTTCTAGAAATATTTTTGGATCAATATGATCTTCTTCATTATTATTTGTATCAGCATATTTACAACATTTTCGAACATAACTTAATGTTCTATATTGAATAAAAAAAATAAAGGAAAAACATAATTGAGTTTTATATGAGAAAAAGAAAAAAATTATTATTTTTTTTTTTTTTTGTTACTTAAGTATAGCTGGATTCTCTTTATGTTTTAATGCTTGTTTATTGGCAAATAATTTTTGATCGAAATTTCTTCGTTCAATTACTTTTTGTCGTTGTTCACCTAATTGAAGTAGATGAATATCAAGTTTTCGACCAATTTGCGAATATGAACTTTCTGAACGTTTTTGTACTGATACTGTTCCTAATGAAGCGGATGTTGTTTTTGCTGTATCACTAATTGATAAACTTCGTCCTTTATATGCCCAACGTTCAATACGTTGTTTACGAACAAGAAAATGACCCAAACGTCGTGGAATATCGGAATTTTTATTAATTTTATCGTTTTGTGCCATAGTAAAACTGTGTGTTGATGCAGTCATTGCTCTTGGTTTTGTGATTGTTTCGTCAATTGCCATCTTGATCTACTAAAAAATAAAAATGTCGAATACAAGACATACCGGAAGAGTAATTTAAAAAAGAAAAGGGACATAGCAGACTTACAAAGTCAAGAATTTAATAGATTCTATCGTTTATACATACTGTTGTATAGATTGCTTTCTCTTTTCTAAATTTTTTAATGAACTATTTATATTAGTCTTTTGGCTTTTTTCTTTTCTTTTTTCTTCTCTTCTCATAAAATACGAAAACAATCTTATTTCTACAAACATATATAGTTGTTATGATGACAGCAAGTCATTTACATCATCAACCATATAACAGCACTGACGACGACGACAACAACAACAACAATAGCAATATTAACGCTTGCTGTTCAAGTATCGTTTTTATTAAAAGAAAAAAAAAGTACATTACATGCACGACACATCTGTCGATCGTAACTGTTTTTATACGTCATTTAACATATTCCGTTTAACATGTTGTCAAGAAGCTTTATATTAACATAGACGAAAAAAAAGAAAAACTTCAATGTTGACTTTTAACTGTGAACACTAATTATTGATAGAATATAATGATGATGGTAGGTAAATACGTAATGAGAATAACAACTAGTCAAAATAATCTAGTCTATAGTTGATAGGAGTATCTTGAATATGAAATATTTCTTCGTCAAGAAAAATATTATATGTTTAAAATTCAAGGATAACACAATCAATAATCATTGATTTTTTAATTTAGTAAGATGTCAATCTGTTTTCTTTTTGTTGAATAATAAGATATCTGGATTTTATCATAAGAATATTGCAGTTAAACGATGGTTCTGTCCTAATCATAACCAGAAAATTTTTTTTTTTATATGCATTTATATTCATTCTATTGATTATATATGTCAAGATCAATTCCAAATCATTTCTTATGTCAATAATCTCAAAAGTAGTTTTCTTTTATTCGTTATATTTTAAAAAGATTTGAATACAACAAAACAAAATTCACGAAAGTAAAATGCAACTAGCTGTTTTTATTTTATAAAAAGAATTAATTTCAACAAAAAAAAAAAAAAGAAATGATGAACTTTTAAACATTTGTTTCGCTATATTCTTTAATAAGATTACCAGCAATTACTAATCGTTGAACTAAATATTAAAAAATAAAATAAAATAAATTCAACATATTAATGAAATAAAAACAAAAAAAAGACACTTACTTTCACTTGTTCCTTCATATATTTCTGTTATACGTGCATCACGATAATGACGTTCAGCTGGCATATCACTAACATAACCCATTCCACCTAAAATTTGTATAGCTTGATGAGCATTAAATGTAGCACATTCTGATGCAGCTAATTTTGCCATAGCAGCAAATTTTGTAAATGGTTGACCAGATGATTTTAATGCTGCAGCTTTCCATGTTAATAAACGAGCAGATTGTAAACGCATTTCCATATCTGAACAAAGCAAAAGAGAATTATATAAAAGAAAAATTATTATGTTTTTTTTTGGATAATTTACCAGCTAATTTCATTTGTATCGTTTGCATTTGTGTTAATTGTTTACCAAATACTTGTCGTTTTTGTGCATAATCAATTGCACATTCAAGTGATGCTTGAGCAATTCCTAATGCTTGACCTGCTATACCAATACGACCTGAGTCAAGTGTTGTCACTAAAATATAAAATCATTAAAAATATAAAACGAAAAATTATTTTCATTTAATTGATTGTATTTTTTTACTTGCAATTTTGAATCCATCACCTTTTTTACCAAGTAAATTTTCTTTTGGAATGATACAATCATCAAATATAAGATTACATGTTGAACTAGCTTTGATACCTAATTTATCTTCTCTTTTGCCTAATGATAAACCTTCTGTTGGTTTTTTGACAATAAATGCACTAATGCCTTTATGTTTAAGTGATTTATCCGTTGTTGCAAATATGACTGCTGCTTCGGATTCATATCCATTTGTACTAAAAAATTTTATCAGAACAAAATCTAAGAAAGTTTCTTTTATCTACTTACATCCATGATTTTGTACCATTAATTACAAAGTTTGAACTGTCATGTTCTTTAACTGTCGTACTTGCTGCACCTGCATCGGAACCATTACCTAATAAATAATAATAAAATTCAATTTAGTACATGAAGAGAATTGTGACAAACCAGGTTCAGAAAGAGCAAAACATCCAACTCGATCACCATGAAGAAATGGTTTAACAAACTGTTCGATTTGTTGTTCATTTCCATATTTGACGATAGGTCCGATATAAAGAGACTAAAAGAATTCTATACTAAGTATTTCGTTTTTTTTTTCTTTTCTTCTCATCAATAGAAACCTTACATTATGAGCAGACATAACAACACCAGTACTAGCACATCCACGTGATATTTCTTCCATAGCAATAGCATAAGCAAGTGCATCTAAACCAGAGCCACCTAATGATTCATTGACTTCAACACACATCAAACCAAGATCACCTATTTTTTTAATCTAAACAAATTTTTCAATTATTTTTGAATGTTTTTGTTTTTTTTTCTTCAAAATATAACATACAATTTCTGTTGGATATCGATGTGTTTTATCAAGTTCACTAGCAATTGGTTTTAGTTCTCGATCAGCAAAATCATGACATGTTTTTCGAAGCATTTCATGTGATTCTGACAATGTAAAAAGAGATGAACCAATATTTGTTGACATTGCACATTGTTTGAAAGCATTTGCTTAAAACAGAAAGAAGAAAATTTTTTATTTACAAATGAAAAATTTTCATCACTTCTTCGAATAAATAGATTAATCAAATGATTTTGTCTTGTGAACATCTGAAGCAAAAACAATGATTTTCTTAAATACTAACTGAGAAATTTCTTTTTTTTTTTTTTATTATTTATTAAACAAAGAAAAAATAGCACTGTTAAGAAGTTCGATTTTTTTTTGTTGTTGTTCTAATCTATCGACATAAATGTTTAACAACATCTTTAATTAATATAATATTTTTAATATTATGCTCTTTGTGAAGAAATCCTTGTGTTTCTTTCATTTTATTTGTATTAACCAATATTAATGTTGATGATTGATTATCATCAATTAATGGTGATAAATATTTTTCAATTATTTTCAATATTATATCTTCATTATAAATAAATGAATTAATTTCATTTAATAAATTTTGATATTTTTCAATTGAATATGTATTAAGATATGAACGAATACAAACACTTGTTATACGACCTAATGTTGCTAAATGTTCTGTCAACATACAAATTGTTAAATTTCGTGCAGCATTAATACGTTTTGAATCTAATGGTATTTTCTGTTCAATGAGATTTTTAAGTGTTTCTATAGCACTTGTATAGGCTAATTTTAATTGAGAACATTGATTTATTGATATAAGAATAAGATTTGTTTCAATATCAAAATCAAATGCAATACCATAAGAATAACCATTTGTACGACATGCTGTCCAAAGTGGACCATTTTCCATATCGAGATAATTTGAAAAGATTAAAAGTGAAACAATATCTTTTGGACATATTGGAAGACGTGTCCATCGAATGACATAACTAAACAAAAACAAAAAAAAGAAAAAATATTATTTTAGTTATGAATTCTAGACAAGAATATATCAGATAGTACAATTAACATCGATCAATATGATAGAAATCAGCTTTAGTGATCTGTTTTTTGGGCATTATTTATATGGTTTTTTATAGGACGAATTAGTGAAGCTTGAAACAAGCCGCAATCATTGATCAGCTTGATTAGTCTAGATTTTATAATTCACCTTTTGTATATTTCACTGAAGTCATTTTAATCTTATAGAGTGGAATAGATATCTTGAATAATATGTTAATTGAAATAGATGAAACCACTTCTCATGATGTGGACAAATCCGAATTTCGTGGAGTTTTCTTTTATAGGATGACATTTCCATTTATGAATAAAATATACTAAAATGTAAGATAAATAGATATATCTTTGAAGTTTTTTTTTGAATGCCTAAGTTTAGCATATGAAAGAAAAATAAAAATATAGAATTTATTAAAATTTTCAAATGTGACAAGTCGAAAGGCTTCAATTTTAATATTATTTCATGTCAAATAACAGTAAACTTTAATAATGACACTTCACAAATGGCTACATCATGATTTCTTAGACTAAATAAGAAAAAATGTCCACAAAGCTAAATCAACAGGAGAAACAAACATGATTGCATTGTAGAATCAAGACAAAATTTATTAGGTTCATAATCAAAATCATTCTCGTCAATCGTATAGAATATCTTGATATAGATATCGATAACAAAAAGAATACAAATTTCTTTTGAAAACTATTAAAATTCAAGAAAAGATCATCTTAATATTCTCATTTTACTTAAATCAAATCGTTTTTATTAGCCATTGATGTGAAGATTTCTAACTTTGTCTGAAGAGTTTTATTTTGAATAGATCGATTTTAAAAATTTTGTCACATCAATATAAAAGATTGTGTATGACAAAGAAAAATCAATTTGTTCTATATAGAAAAACTTACCCTGATTCTTCATGTTGATTACCAATAATTGTAGCCGATGATGATAATGATGGTAATATTGGAGTGTATTTTTCTTTGATTTCATTGTTTTTCATTTCTATTTGACTTTTTAATTTACTTTCATGCATAAATTGATCAATAATAGACCAATTTTCTTCAATTAATTCCATATTTCCACATATGGTCAAATGCATATGAGATAAATTTTTTAAAATAAATAATTGAATACATTCAAGTTTTGATATAATTTCATTTTGATATTTATTTGGTTGTTTACAAATTTTTTCAAATAAATTTTTTTGTAAAAAAATATTCATTTGATGATAATAATTATTTAAATCTTTTGAATTAATTAAACAATTAAAATATGCTTCATGAATTGTATGACCATCTTGTAATGCTTCAATAAGATTTTTTAATTGTTTTTCACATTCTTCAATTATTATTTTATAATCATTAAATATTGTTCCATAAAGTACATAACGAA